CTTCAAATTCATTCTCAGTATCGTGGTCCGACTGAACTAGAGGGTCGTCCAGGGGACGTCTCTCTTCAGGAGCCGGTACAAACGTGGATGCCATCTCAGAAGTACTCTCCCCACAGACGGCGCCAAATGTTTCGGGGTTTTCTGATGTCCTGCGGGAGAGTTACAATTCCGAGACTGGAACCGGACGTCTGTACCTGCAAAACAAACGGATGCTCCGGATGATTGGAGATCCGCCTCCGACGGTCAAGTTAGTACTTGATTAAGGAGTAATTAATGCGGAAATTAAAGTGATTGGGTCTCTCTAGGTGAGAGTGTTTAATGTGTGTAATCTGCTTTTTAGCGTAATCTCCCTTAATGGGGATTAAGGGAGGTATTTATAACCTCGGGAAACGTGTCAATCTAGGTTTAGGTTAACCTTGGGCTGATTGGGCTTCCCTCGGAAGTTGGGCCTAGGTGACCGGTTATCCCAGGTGTCATGGGAAGGACACGTGTCGTGTCGTAATTGGTCCATAGTGGACGGATCATTGCTTGACACGTGGCAGGCTCCTATTGGCCCATGTGACGGACACATGGCGGAACCTGATGGGTCCACTTGTCAGATGGTGATTGGTGGGGGAAAATCCCCTAATCACCTCCCATATTTAATCTCCCTCCTAAAGCCCCAACTACTTATGTCTCCATCACCATCACCATTAATGTCTGAGCTTACCGACTTCACTCTCCATCAAAATTTATTGCGCTCCCCCTTATTTACTCAATCGCGTAGGTCTCTCTTCTCCATTTACTATAAAAGGGTTAAAAACTACATGTATAAATTATTTTGATTAACTTGTCCGCTTACATTACTTAATCTAATCCTTAAAGTGCATGCCGAAAAAGGTGTGTTGCATTTCGAAGAAGGTGGGTTGCATTTATAAGAAAATAGAGGAAGTATTATGTATGATTTCAACAATAATATCTTTAAGAACTAGCCATTTTTTTTAACTCACTAGAGTGAATTCGAGTGGACCAAAAAATCGAGAGGGGTAGCGTCCTTCTCCTTAATTACTAAAAGAAGAAGAAGAAGAGGAAAGATCCGGGAGTAAATACGGAATTTATCTAATTTACTACGCAAAGAAAGATAATTTTGATAAAGTGATTTTCTTTTAATTAAATATATTTTTTTTAATAAAAGGGCACAAAATTGCTTCTTTTAAAGATTGGAGTGATATTCAGATTTCCTTTATTTACACATTGATTCCAAAATTGTTCCTCAATTAACTTTTGTTTCTCTTGTTACATAAACAAATGTAAACAAAAGGTAAACAAGCTAATTTCCAATATTATCCAAACTTAAAATGATTTTCAAATCAACTTGACAAAAAATCCGAGATAATTTGATCAAAATATGACTCATATCCAAAAGTAATTCTAACCTCAAACATGATAGAATTTGAAAATAATCCAACCCAACCCAGCCTAAATTTGTAATTGACATAAATAGAACAAAATCGTTCACATAGTCCATTCTAATCCGAACCTAGAATAAATAGAATCTGTAATACCCCGTATTTTTATATGTATTTAAAATTTAAATAAGTATTTCTTGAAATATTTAAATAATACGAAATGAATTATTTAGGGTTTTCTCAATACAAAAAGGATGATTTTAATTAAAAATATATTTTTATTATTTAATAATCTTGAAAATATTTTATTTCATGATTTAAAAATAGCGGGGCATATTATTTTATAAAGGATAATTTGTTTTTAAAAGTCAAATTTCGAGTTTGAATAGGAAAAGGGATTATTAAGAGAATAAGTAGGAAGGAAAGAGAGAGGGTATAAATACCCATCTTATACCTAAGGTGGAGTGCACCCAAAGGTAAATTCTCTCTCTCCTCTTATTTTATTTTCCCCTTAATTTTTCCCCTTCCCCTTTTAATTTAATTTTTTTTATGTTTTTAATCACCCACACACACCACCACCACCACACGCCACCGGCCGGCAACCACCACCGTCGGCGCGAGCCAGCAGCAGCAACCGCCAGCCTGGTGGTTCGCCGCATGTATAAAAAAAAATTAATTATTATTTTATTATTGTTATTGTTCTTGTTTAATTAAATCCACCCTAAATCTAATTATTGTTTTTGGGTTTTGTGATGATTCTTAGGATGTTAAATAACAAGTATTTTAATTATAAATTTCAGATTTTAGTTTTAATTAAAAAGCCCCAAAATTGAAAGCCCTAGGTTTTTAAATTAATGTTTATTAATGGAATTTGATTGTGGTTGATTGAAATTATTGAAACTAATGTTTTAAAACCAAATTACAACAATTTTATAAGTTTCAATAATGCTGGAAATTTTATATATAAGCCTAATGTAAGTTTCTTGAAAAGATCTTTAAATTACCCATTTAATTGGGAATAAAGTAAGGGTTTTAAATAAAATTTCAGATTATTTTAAAAGGTTTTTGAGCGATTTAAAGAAAGTATATATTGCTGGAATTTTGTGTTAAAGAGGTATTAATACTCCTTTATAATTGTGGTTTGTAGGAGACTTCCAAGTGAGTGACTTTGTGTAATCGTGGCTATTTTAAAGATCGTATTCAAGGTACGTTCGCGTACTTGGTAAAGTTTAAGTGTATAGAAGCATGCTAGGCTTTGTTTAATTGATTCCAAGTAGCATCATGATAGGTATTGGATGGAATTTGTGATTGGATTGATATCGGTGAATGATTTGTGATGTGTGAATTAATTATGGTGATTTGGTGATTGGAATTAATTATATTGGCATGTTGATTGTGAACCATACTTTATTATTGACATGTTAGAAAGCATGTTTAATTAAAATAAATGTTTGATTTGGATTAGAATATTGAAAAGGAATTTTATTATGGTTCAAATAAATTTTACTGATGCTATAAGTATGAGGAAGGAGCTATTTAAGTGTCTTTGTACACTAGGATTAAATTATATTTTGGCGCCTATGAGCACTTAAGGTGTTTCTAACACCGAGGGATAGGATTTGTGGCGCACTATGCGTTTAAGGTGTCTTTGACACTGAGGTAGTTTAAAAAGGGTTCAACATTAAATTTATGTGGTCACTAATTATTCAAGAATTAATCGCAATGTTTGATTGCTTGAATAAATTGTAGTGTTTGGTTTGTGTTGTGTTGAGAGTCATCACCAAGTCTAATAATTTGTAAATAACGTGAAGTGAAAGAGATTACGCACCAAAACTCTTGGAACGTATATACCTTGAGTCTAAACATATGGGGGGAGTTATGCGACTTTATATTTGACCATAACTTCTACTGGAGTACAGGATGCTGTATTTTCCTTTTCTTTTTTTTATTATGCGCAGGAATTCCGCCACTTACGAGTGGTTATTTTATACTCTCACGGTTAGCTCCCGTGTTAGTACCCCTTTATTGGGGCAGGTTAGGGGGAAACCCGTTCGTTGCGTAATCAAGCTAAATAATTGGACTAGTTATTGGTATAGTCAGGTGTTGAATGTTTGTATGCTTGTAAACAGGTGTATCAAGGTAAGTTGTGTGTTGATAGGATGAAAGCATGTTAGTGTGTTCTTATTACGCTTATGTACTCAGCTTTGCTGATTGTGTGTGTTGCATGTTTGTTTGGCTTTGTCTTTACCTTGGCCCTACGACGACCTATTTCTAATGGCGAGTAGTGGGGACAAGTAGAGAGAAACTTTTCAGGTGATGAAGCATAATCATGATGGGGCATGAGTGAAGAGTGAATCATGCTTAGTTCTCATTAGAATATGACATGTTTATTGCTTTAAATTATTATTTCTATATGTTGATCATGAGACCAACGCAAAAGGATCTTTAAGTGTTTTGGTTTAAGGGCCTACAATGGTTCCAAGTTGTAGGTTGACTTCGTTTGACTTTTTTTTTTACTTTTACTTTCGTTTGGTTTGACTTTTAAAGTTGACTTGATTTTAAATAGTTTTAAAGATAGTCTTCCGCTGTGTGTCTTTGATAATTGCCTTAGCCGTTTTCACGGTGGCGGTAATATCTTAGATTTTCCTTTTTCGTATTTTAAAAAAAGGGCAAAACAGGTATTTTAAAGGGAAGGAATTTTTAGGGTGCTACAGAATCGAACCTAACTTAATTCAAAGGAGACTCGAAACGACATAACGAACCAATCCAATCTTAATTCGGGAAAAAAGGAATTAAACCCAAATCAACTATCACTTCAATTCCAATTTATTTGCAACGATATGACATTCATCTATATCTTGGTAAAATTTGTTTGTGAGTGGCAAATGAAAAGAGAAAAACAAAGTTGCATATGATATTATGATAAGGAAATATGAAAGAAATGAACAAGAGTGGTTTCCATATAAATTTCTCCAAAATAATTAAATTCCATAACTATGCCACATTTTATCAATATTTTGGACATATCGTCCACACCATCACAATTTTTTTCCCCCAATTCACACTAAAAACGTTAATTGAATTAGTGGTTTTACTCTTAATAAAAACCACTAATTCAATTAGCGGTTTCTTAAGAGTATGATTATTAAACTATATTTTGATATATGTGTATTTATAAAACCTCTAATCGAAGCGGTTTTTAAGGTTTATACCCTTTTATAAAAGTGGCCCAATTTTTGGTTGACGTGAATAGTATGCAAGGTTTTTGTAAATTGTAGCGTACTTAAGGAATTTAACTATCTTTGAGCATTTTCTGTGGAAATCACTCAATGAACAATAAAAGAGGGAGGGGGGGGACTTTTGTTACAAACTATTTGTAGTTTCTATTTTTTTATGTAAATGTAAATAAATTGAAATGAAGGCAGTAAAATAAAACTCAAAATGATTAATAAACCTAATTCAGTCTTAACCCGACTCGACCCATATGGATAAACAACCTCAAATCCAATCTTAACCTTGAATAATTGGAATTATACCAATTCAACCAAATTAAACTTAAAATGATTCACGAACACAATTAGAACTAACCCGACTCAACCCGTATAGATAAACGAACCCCAATAGGCAATAACCCAATTGAATCACCTCGCAAAACCTTTGCACTAGCACTAGCACATCAGAATAAGGCATAAGGGTACTTTTTCTCTTATCTCCTCTTAAACCCACACTCTGCAAATACCAAATTCCTAGTTGGGATTTCTTCAAAATTGGAAAGATAGTGAATTCATGGCATTCAGATTGGGATTACAACGAAATTTGCAGGGAAAAGTTGATGGATGTCTGCATAATGTCAGAAGATTTACTCATGCTTATGCACTTCCACCATCTTTCGGCAATTCAATTGACCCGATTTCATCGCCCCCTTAAATTCTTCCTGAAGATGACACCAATTCTGTTCATGGTGGCGGATTCATGGACCTCATGGCTGTTCCCAAAAAGAAGGTCAAAGATCATTTTTTATTTATTCCTGGTTTTTATTTTGTTAATAAATTTAGGGTTTCGAATCGTGTAATGTTGTTTGATTGATTTGTTTTTTTCAATTTGGTTGTTCTTTGTGGTTTTCGGCTTCTGGGCTATTAGGGTTTAAGGAAGTTAGTTTTGATGGTTTTATGGAATTTAGGGTTTCGAATCGTGTAATGTTGTTTGATGCTTCAATTAATCTATGTTTGTTGAAATTTTGAGTTAATGGTCAATTTGGAAGCATGATGATACGGCATTTCTGCAATGTATATTGATTTATACGATCTTTTCGTGCTTAGTGATGTTCTTACTAGATGACTAGTTGATGCATCATTTTGATTCTATCTTTGTTGAATTTTTTTTGTTGTTGGTTATTGCCTACAATATCGAAAATTGTTGAATATTCCAGAGAAGGGAAACTAAGTATGAGCTACGAATACTAAATTAATGGTTTCGGATATGATTCATGACGCCGAGGAGTGTGAATAAATTGTGATTGTTGCATTATATTTTATTTTGGGTTTAGTTGTTAGCAAAAAAAAGTTTGAAGCAGTTTGTTAATTCTTACAAGGGTACTCAATTCAAGCAGCTAGTTTGACTGTAGTTATTGTCAATTTATCATGGTTGGTGTGGATGATACTTGTTGAATTTGCTTGTTTCTTATCCTATTTGTATAGAGTATAGATATCACAATCATGATGGTTAAATTTGAAAATGATATATGAAGTGCTAGTGCTAGTGTAAATTTATAATGGAATATATAAAAATCTGTGTATTGGTTAAAAGTGTAATTGACTGAGATGCCAGGTTGCTTAGTATGAAGTATATCTTAACTTTCACCTCCTGTTGTCACTGAGACACTGTAATTTGTTTTTTTGGAAATAGGCTGGTTTTGTTGCTAATGCTGCTAGTTACAAAGTTGTGATGTCATATTTTTTATGCTGTTTGTAGAAGATAATTTTGACAAGTGTATGAACAAAAGATGTTAAGAGCTGTTAAACTACACAGTTTTGCCTGTTGCATGATTTATTAATGTAAATCTTATGCTTGATCAGGTTTCTAAACACAAGAGAGGCATTAGAAATGGGCCGAAGGCTCTGAAACCAACTCCAGTTATAGTCCGATGCAAGTAAGGCATTTCATCTGATATCTATCTGAAATTTTGATCTTTGATTTGACATTCTTGACAAAAACTGTGTTTATGAACTGCATATAAGATATGTGCTTTACATTCTTTTGGTTCTTCTATGGAGTTACAAGTAGATAAGAGTTTTGATTTGGGATTTGTTTTGCAACTCTCGTAAGATAAGCAATGGAAACATGTCCACTCCTTCACAACATTTTAATATTGAGGGGGTGTGTTACACTGAACTTATTCTCTTAATTAGATATCATATCCAATGTGAATATACACGAGAGTGGACAGTGAATTCAGTGGCAAAATTAGGTTGCATCACATCTTGGCAATTTGTAGCAACCAGCAAATGGACTACTGTTTGCTTTCTTTTCCCTCTGCACCAGGTTAAGTTTCAGCGAAAGTTTTGGTTAAGAACAGGAAAATATTTGATGAGATGGAGGTATAAAACAGAATAGTCTGAAAAGGAAGTGTGAATATCATTTTGGCCATCTAAATTAAAAAGTGTGAAATTTTTTTTTATTATTTTTTTTTAAACGAAGGGAATGATTTCGTGACATACTCTGTAACAACGGATATAGAGTAAGAGAAGATGTGCAATACTAGGACTGATGAAAAAATCTATTTCTGGGACTGTCTAACCTGCATTTTTAATGATATTTTGGACATCCTGAGATTTTCTATTTAAATATAAATAGGAAGTTTAAAATAAAATCACATAAATCGCAATGTTGATCAAGATCAATGCCTGTTTGTGTTTTATTTTTGGGATGTCTCACTAAGTTTTAATTGCGGTTGCAGTTGTATTCATCTTTTAACCTTTGCTATTGCCTGTTGGCTGTGTAGGGGTTGTGGTCGTGTGAAGCTGCCACATTTCTACTGTTGCAGCGGCTGCAGCGAAGATCATTGCGAGAGAAGTGATGCAATCAATTAATTGTGCTCATTGCTTTTTAGAACTAATTTTTGTTCCAACCCCACACCCTTGGAGTGAAACTCAGAACTTGCTATAGTTAAATTTGCACGGATATGATCAAACCATCTGCTTATTTCCTATGGGTATCTGTATTTTTCAATACGAAAATGTGGCCCTCATGTTTAGGTTTACTCATGTATTGTTCTATTGACAAATGTAAGTGATAAAATAAAGACATTCTCTCATAACAAAGGTTTGTACGATAGTGTAAGACTGTAAGGCAACTCGATCATATAGCAAACCACTTCCAGGTAAAGAAACGGGAGAATGAAAATTAGTTTATACAAGTCAAAATGTGAGAAAAATGGTTGCTCAGAAGCAAAAGATGTCTGTAATAATTGTATGTTCAATTGAAGCTGTTTTATTGAAAAAATGGTCAAAGCAATAAAGTTTAAGTAATTACATTTTGATTAATAAATGTAAACTTCAAAACATCGAACTTTCATCCACTCCAGAGAGGAGAGAGACACCGAGATTGTTTGATGTTGTAGTCACAAGGAGGATGTGTTGCATATGCTTCTATTGCTGAAAGAGTAAACCTAGCAAGCAAATTTTCAATATAGTGATAAAAACTTAATACCTGGTATAAACACTTATTCGACATAAAATTTCCTTGTATATGAAATGGTACTTCGTATAAAATTTCCGATTTTTGATTAACATTATCGAGGACTTCATGTTTGTCCCAAACTCTACCAAGTCCAATTGTTCGAACTATGTGAGTGTTTTCAATAATGAATGCTAAAGAAAGTCTATCTAAATACTCACAAATCGTAAAACATAGAGTCCGAATGATTATGTTGCTTTTGCAACTGAAGGCAGAGTTCTTAGGAGAGAGAGAGATGGCTTGCGAACAGTATGATTAAGCAGGATCATCATAGTTAAAAGAGTTAATGCTCCAGCCTGATGAGCTGTGCCAAGTGAAACCGGAACGTATGACAACAAAGTTGAGATTCCCAGAGTAACCTGCAAATAGAATCACACATTTGACGAATACAAATTATCAAGGTCATTCATGTACTCATTGTACTATTTACAATAAAAGCACGAGTAAACTGCAAGTAGAATCATGCAATTTGCAGAATTGAAAATGAAAGTTTTCGGCATAGCTGAACATATGCAAGAACTTGAAAGTTTTAATTCACCTGTAGACCAGCAATTCCAAGAGTGCTGCCAACCAAAGATCTCACAGCAGGATGGATATCCAACTTCCTTGCTGTCCACCACAAACCGCAGATTGATGCCAAGGTTGCAGTGGCTAAGATACGATGATCCAACTGCAAACATAGTAATGCAAATTATTTATATTTCTCATTGATACAAAGATACTTGAGGGTCATAATAATGTTCTTCACAATCTGAAAATTTAATTCTGTTTATTTATAACAAGGAAAATACACATATTCTAGTCATGCTATATGGTATCCAACTTTAAGTAAGAGTAGATTGTGGTAAGCTAGATCTCAAGGGACTTAAATGCATAGAAAACATCATCTACACACTAGCTCTAGAAAAGGATATACAATACAGTAACAACAAAAAAAAAAATCCTGCTAAGGTTACATTACAACTGGTAAAATTTTATTAAAGGGTCGTTGTGTTGGCATATGTACTGAGAGATCCTATTAAGCTTAGTCATTGCATTTGTTGGGTTTGAATAAGGCCATCATTCATAACCATAGTTGCAAGGTTTGCAGTAATTCTAACTATCAAGTCACTTATTGAATTACATAATACACAGTATGGCATATGCTACTGCTTATCTATGCAAGAATAGGAAGTAGATATGAGATGCACTTGAGTCTAGAGGTCACCATTTTATGGGGAAGGGTTGTGTTTTAACTTGTTGTCTGTGATGAAATGAAACGGATTATAAGGAATTCCATATCAGTTCTTTATAATTATTTCAATTTTGTTTGAATTAACTTTTCTTCTTCTTTTCTTTTTTTTTTTTTTTTTCTTTTTTTCTTTTTTTTTTGTTTGGAGAGGGGGCGCACAAGAGTTATATGATCCGACCCTGCCAAATCAAAAGATTTCAAGAGACTTTAAAAGAGCATACAATTGGCCAGGATTAAAAAAGTTAATATGAGATGTAACCTAAATATAGGAAAGCACTGCAAACATAATGAGCCTATTCAGTGTTATTTTCCCTGTACTTGAAAAACCAATGCCAAGCAGTACCGATTACCGAAGGATATACTTATTAACTACTTGTCTACACTTCAGCGCAAAGAAAATCCTAAGGTTTCAAGAACGCCTTAGGATAATCATAGGTGACGCCATGTTTTCTATCAATATAACAGAGTTGAATATTGTACAAAATGAAAGCACGATTCGTACCTGTACTGTAGATGTATTTTCAAAAAAATTTCTCATAATTGGCTTCATACTCAAAACATCATCTGGAATCCATGTATCACCCATCTTAGGAAAGGTATTATATGCACGACCCTAATGAATGATACCTTGTTAATCTTTGTCATAGATTATAGCAGATAAACCAGATAAATGCAAGTTAAATTATAGCAGAGAACAGAACAATCATACAGCATCATTTCCAGCAACAAATGCTCCTGAGACTGCAGTGAGACCAACAAGAAGACTCACGGGGATGGCAAGTCTCTTAAGTTTTGCTGCACCATTAACCCATCCTAACGACTCAGCTGGTGGTTCAGGCATCACTACAGAAAGAGCAGTCCAAAGAAGACCACAATATATAGCAAAAGCCGAAGTAAGGTGAGCTGCTAGCCGGTAAGGGCTTACCCTTGGCTCGGCATATTCTGATACAGGTTCCTGAGGAAAGGAAAAGAAGAAAGTAAACTGGTCACTTATCATTATGGAAACATATAATTGATGGAGTCCTTGATTAAGTTTGCACAATTACCTCAAGACCGCTTTTAACCATCCACCAGCCAATGAGCCCCTGCCCAGCCCCAAGAGCAAATAGAGTTGAAAGCCTCAGACCAAGACGTACTGTAATAAACCCTTTACGCAGGAAATATGAAAATGGCAAAGCAAACATGACACCGAGTGCCCTTCCCCACATTCGATGTGCATATTCCATCCAATAAATGAACATGAAATCTTCAAGACTCATCCCCTTGTTAATACTGGATGAAACTCATATAAAACAACGAATATCAAACAAGTTGTACAAGAAACTAACTTTTACACTTCAAGCTGCACGCAGCTATTAGCATGAATGCCACCATTATAAAACAACTGTTGCATGTATGAAGACAATCGTTGCTTTATTGTAGTGTTATTTTCAAGAGAAATGAGCACTAACCGCTTGTACTCGGGGGATTGCTTGTATTTCTCAAATTCAAGTGCCCATTCTTCCTCTGACATAGGAGGAAGGTTCCCAGTAAATTTCCAATCAGTCATCGAAAGTCCAGAGCGAGTAAGTCGAGTAATTCCACCAAGAATAACCATGCTGAACACCCATGCCGCAGAACCGAATAGCCAAATTCCAACCATCATCTGAGCACGTGGCCCAGCTGTCACTAATAGCTTTAATCCTGCCTTTTCAATCGGAACTGAAGAAGCTGTGCACATACCCCTCATCGAGTATCTATGGACAACCTGTGATATAGAACAATACAACATCAGGACTTAGGAGCAAAGACATATATTATTCATGAGCATAGAAATAGAAGCAGAATTAAACAAGAACCTTATAAAATTAATCATACAATATTACAATGCCATACAGCCAAAAGTTATTCATCCTCAGCTCTGAAAAACTTGGAAAAAAAAATCTCATTCTCCTTTAGGTTAGTAACCATATTGTTAGAATATGCCTTGAATCAGTGTCGCTCCAAGTGACCCTGCAGAATAATCAATCCAGGCTAATTTCTTGGCCCTTAATTGGTTTGTATTTCGAGGAGTGATACATAAACTCCTTAATTCTTTACCTAGCCTAATTTTGTAACCTATATTTCTCAAGAACAATATAATTTCAACTTCTTGTCTATGGATGTAATAAAGCATTGTTAGTCACCGATGTAAAATAGGTGTTCTTGTTGATTCAGCTTAAACTTTTTGCATTCTTAACCTTGTCAAATTCACAAATTTCTCAAAAATATTACTTGTATATTGAATGATCCTCCCAATCTAAAGAGGCTTTTTTTAATTAACTAATTAATGCCAAAATTAACATAAAAAGAATTAACAATTTCATCAGATTGAAGATATGTAAATTAGACAACAAACATTTACAAGAATACTACTTCATATATCAATTTTTAAGCACCCAAATAAACAATTGCACAAAAAAATAACAATATCCAAGTAAAAAACAGAATATAACAACAAAATTTGAGCTAGAATAATTAGAAAAAAAATTCCATGATCCCAGAATAATTGACAAATTCAGGGGAAAAAATGAGAAAGAACCCAGAAAAATCAAGCAAGAAAAAAACCTTGGGAAAAGATCGGAAGCTAGAAATGGCGGCATTTCGAGCAGTAATTGAAGCAGAAGAACCAATTGCAGAGGAGAAGAATCTGAAGCCTTCATTAGAAGAAGAAAAAGTTCTGCAACTGCTGGAATTACTCAAAAATCCCTTGACATTATTGTATAAAATGGAATTCAAGGCTTTGTTCTTCTTCAACAACAATGACGCAACTCTTCTCATTTCTCTCTCTTGGGTTTCAAGGGTTAAGTGGCTTCAACTGCATACACGACTGAGCAGTGGCGTCTCAAGGATTTTCGAAGTGTGGGTTCGAAACTTCGGGAATTTGAAATCGTAATTAACAAAGGAATAAAAATATAATAATTAAATATTCAGTACATAAGTTCAAACTATGGATTACAAATAGATTACACATAGGAAAATGAAAAAAAAAAGGACTACAGAAGCATTCATGGTATATACTGCTAGTTTGCTACACACATGATAAATGCAGAATGAAATCAATGAATGAATTATAGATTCAATAATCAATATCAATTAAATAGAAAATCAGAAATAATAATCAGTGTAAATTAAACAGAAATTATACTATTATACAGCTCAAATACTCAAATATACGGTCACAAGCAGTCAAGCACAACTTCAATTTCTAGAGGAAAAATACCCAAATCGGCTAATCAAAACCACTGCTCAGTTTTTGATCGGCTAACCATATTTAAAAAAATTCATTTGGGACTAATAAATTATGAAGACAAATTAAAACTATCGTAATTACTGTCAAAAGACTCGAAACCATCTTCAAAATTATGAAATTCACTGACCTCACTACCAGAGTACGAGGACGAAATTCAACGACGTCTCCCCACGTCGGACCGTCGGAGTCGTTGCCTGGCTGATGACGCGTCGGCTGCGGGGCTGGGGGACAGAGGGACAGGCGGAAGAGGAAGAGGTTATGGTTTTACAATTTGGGGGAATGAGGAAGAGGAAGGAGGTAATTGCGTTCTTCAGTCTTGAGGAAAGCAGGAAACAAAAAGAAAAAAAAAAGTGTGAGTTATGGGTTTTGAACCCACAAACTCGTGTGTGATGAGAGGTTAAAAAACCCCTAGGCTACAGCTTTATTTCTTGCCATACGATAAACAAATATTCTATTTAAACCTATTTTGCCTTTTGATTTTTTTTTTAAAAAAAAAACTTTTTAATTTTTTTCAAAAAATCAGTGGGTTCAATGAACCCACTCAAACCCACATTGGATCCGCCTCTGCGACTGAGGTTTTAGAGGAGTTTTCGCCCAAACTATACACTTTATTTTTCTCACACGAATAAGAATTACTAATGCTCGTGTTCCTCTAAATTATTTTTCTTAAAGACAAAATTGATCAATGAGTTAGCAAAATACATTTACCTGGGATTTTATAATACGGAGTAAGAGACACAATAGCCTCTAGTCCTTTATTTTTTACGAGTAGTATTAGTGACGTATTCAAAAATTTTAAACTTATATAACCCAAAAAAAGGATATTATTGACGTTGATTAGTATTATTAATGTTTCAGTAATGAGTAACGTTCTTTGTAACAAAGCAGTATGTTCTTTCCGCCTTTTTTTTAATTTATTTATTGCCTGCGTTTTATTTTCCGAGCAATGTCGTTTTTGCCTCATGGTACACCTGGATGTACAGATCAACGATTAAACAAAGTCAGTCTAAAAAATTAGATTATGATTTAGATGATTAGCATAATCACAAAAAGGATTTAAATTATAAGGCCCCACAAACGGAAAAGGTGGGTAGCATAAATGTAGGTAAGTCTAGAGATGGGTGACACTATTTATTTACTACTCCTTCCCACCATTTTCCCCCAGAATCCTTCCACGTGGGTTTGTGCGCCCACTGCTTTCTTCCAATTCCTACCCATATTCAATCAATGCTTAAACTTCCAGAATCATCTTCCAATTTCTCATTTATATTCATACCATGATCATATTACATACCAATAACAACACAAAATAACGACGCCTTTGTTCAATACATTCGATAATCGCGATCGTAAAGATGATGCTGGTGTCTGTTGTGGCGGAGATGTTGGAGGAGTACACGGCCGTGTTAGCCCGAGTATTGGAACATTTGTTTAACGAAGCACCGTTACCTCGAAGGGTTCGGTTTTTGATCCTTAGGAATCTTCCTTTTGCTTCTTTACCTCTTAGCCCTTCTCTTCTTCCTCCTCCTCCTCCTTCGCCGTCTTCTTTTCATTGATTTTGCCATTTCTATGGAGGGTATTTATGGAATTTCCTATCTCAATTGCTAGCCTTTGTAATTGTTTTTTTTTTTTTTTTTTTTGGTTTTTTTCATGTAAAGTTTTGCGGGGTTGTAAATACGGAGTTTTCATGTTATGTGTAATCCATCTTTAATTTGACATGTCAAATTTTCATTATTTCTTACATGTGTGTAATATACCCGAGTGTATACAGTTCGCACTATTCCCGGCCTAGACATGATCTTTGACGTAAATCAATACGTCTATCCGGGTTTTGGTGGACACGTATTCGTCTTAAGGGTAAATGATATGATATAATATGGGTTATATTAATGTCTAGACTCCTAACTTTGGTGATGATACACGTCGTCTTTGATGCATTGGTACGTGCTATTTACTCATTCAATATTATTGTCAAAAATTTACAAATAAGACTTGTAAGTTGTAATATAGAATTTACAAAATTTTATTTAAACAATTGACAAATTGATTTCAAATCAAGCGATGGACGAAATTATAGACAATACTAAACTTAGACGGTTAGACTAAATATCATATTACAAAACGGTACACTGCCAAACGCCAATTGTAAGAAGGCCATTTAAAAGTAGTAATTTATGGTCAATAGTATTTGTAGTTGGTAATCACTAATTTATTATTTTAGCCGTGAAGGCACGTCAATAATTTAAATCCATTTTTAAGGACTAATCTAAATTACATTGCTGTGAGCTAGGCAAGTAAGACTTTGTTTATTTTATCTTAAAAAAATAATAGCTACTAAAATTAATTTTAGTTTAGTAAAAATAATTTCAATACAGGAAATATATGTTCAGTTCAGTAAATTTCAGTAACTTTAAAGAAGAAATATAATAGAAAATCAGTAAAAAATAATTTCAGTTCAGCAAAAATAATTTCTGTTTAATAAAAATAATTTAAATTCAGCAAAATTTCAGTGCAATAAAAATAATTTAAGTTCAGCAAAAATAAGGTGAAGTGAACTGAAAAGATAGGCCACTTAATTTTATTAGAAAAAATAATTCTAACTATCTAGACAAATAGACAATGACTCAATGAGAAAGTTTTCGAAAAATAAAAACCGACGTGGAAGCATTTGAAAAAAAAAAAAAAACAAGATATTGTGAGAGTTCATATTCACAATGTAATAAATACAAATTTAGATATTTCATATTAACTTTTGTACATTTTACAAAAAATATCAATTACTTGGTATCAAATTTTGGAATATTTTGACATTTCTAGTTGCTGATTTTAGTATTACAACTTGACAAGAATACTTGAATAGTTGATATCAACTACTCATGGTAGAGGAATGAAAGTTTCTCTCTTGTAACCGTTTCTTTCGCCAATTAGTCCAATAACAATCCAGCTCTTGCGGTGCAGCATGCAGGAGGATAAGTTCAAACACCTTGTAGCGGAGGATCTCAAACTGAATGAGGGCGACGAGCTCGACTGATGTGTGCACTTGATCATCAGTGTCTTATCTTGCCATAGTGTTTACATGGGTTGGGACACTTAGAGGAAGGAGACCACAACGAAAGAGATTGACAGAATAGAGTCACTAGTTGTAACATTTGAATATGACCATTTCAACATCTTTTTTAGTACTATTAAACTTTTAATATATCCACCTTTTTTTTTTTTTTTACAACATAACTTTTAAAGTATAATTTTAAGAAGTATTTTATCAATCGAAGCTTTGAAAGTGTAATGGTACTAAATATTTGACTTATCTTGCATATGGTACATTCTCTCAAATATTGAGGGAAACCTAATTACTGCAGATGGTCACAGAGCAACAAAAACAAGAATCAGAAAGCTATATAAGCCTTCACTCAAATCCTTTATATCAGAAAGCTATATAAGCCTTCACTCAAATCCTTAATATCAGAAAGCCGGATTCATCTTAGTCTAGTGTACTGCTTCTTCGTTGTCATCTTCATGATTCACCTTCTGAGACTTATCTTCAATGGTTTCCTCTGAGGTGGTTATGGTGGAAGAAATTTTGTACTGTTCTAACTGAGAAAAATGAAAATTCTTCGTCAGAAGATAACCTTCCTAATTTGCTAATACCCTTGTTTGGTTTGAATCAATAAATTGAGGGAAACCTAATGATCCACCCACCATCCGGAAATTAAAGTCGCATGTACTAATTTCAGGTGATGTCCAAAAATTAACGTCACTTTCCCTAAAATGTAATAAATCATCCATATGTTTCCGCTAATGCTCACACCACTTTGATGTACGATCAGTCCATATATAATTTTCTTGTAATTGTAATGCGAAATTTAAGGATATAGTCTGATAAGTAACAATGTCATAGGCAACTACAAACGGATATAGAAGATGTTCTTACCATTAACATGGGGCAGATCAGTCAAACACTTTCATTTCTTAATTATGAGGTAGTGGTTTTAATGTGACATAAATCTAGGAAAAGCGAGCATGTCCACAACAAACACCCCCCCCCCCAAAATAAAAAGAGAAAAAAAGAGAAAAAAAAAAAAAAAACCATATATCATCAATAGGATGAACAGATCAAATGCTAGGATGATATGCATGTTGTCATTAAGATAATGGCCCACTAGATGATTAGTAGTGTTCGCCAATATTAGAAATATATTCATTTGCTTTTCTGCAGGGTCAATGTTTATCAGGCTGATAATCAGAAATTCAGAATTGTGCCATTTGCGAGTCTCAAACAGAATCACATAAACATCTCTTTTTTTAAAGTCCCTCAGTATGGCTTGACCAAGGGATTCGAGACAGGATTGGTATCACACCTTGAGCTTCTTATCTAATGTGCTGAATTGAAACAGGAGCAGAAGCAAATTGAGCAAATTCAGGAAAGGCGCCCATTATGCTGTCATTTTGGCTACTGTATATACTATCTAGAGTGTGATAGTCTGATAGATTATTCCCAAATATAGGAAGAGGTGATAGGATGATGCAGTAGTATAATTCCTAAGAAAACTAGCAGTAATGATAGAAGTTGGTTCTCAATCTTGAAAGTTGAATAGTTCTTTTTTTAAGACACGTTAGCCTATTTTGTTAAGTCCAGAAGTGCCTGTACTTTAGCCTCATAGGTTCTAAAAAGACTTGCTTGGTTACAGCAATATACTTAACTTTTGGCTATCAAAAGGAACACACACACACACATTTATCAGGCTGAGGCCGGAAAAGAAAGAAAACCAGGGTAAACTATGACAGTTCCAGAGCTTGCAAGGCTTACATATACACTGCCTACGGAAATTATACAATGAATACGATAAAAGGAAGGAAATACCTGCTTACAAGTCTCTTGATGGGTGGCCAAAAGCTCCTTGTATTTTACCTGCAGCTCTGACATCTCAGCCTGAAGTTTCTCATATTCAGCAACAGTAGGTCCCCCTAATTTTTGTTGCACAAATCTGTAAAATCAAAACTATAAAACATTGCAACAAGGATGAAATTACGCATCCCAAAACATATTTTATACGTTAAATATCTATAAATATATAAGAGTAAAAATTATAAAAAGTTGATATTGTGAAAGTATTTTACGAGACGAATCTAACAAAATCCCACATGACTATATTTTACTTACCGTATAAATCATAATTTGTGGTCAAACAAGCATGCTGAATAGTGCAAAAGTCCAATTGTTGAAATATTATTAGAAAGGAAGAAGTATTATTTTTGATTAGTTGTGTTGAAAATATTTAAAAGTAGTATACATTATAATACACTAATGATGCATGTTATTTCCAATAAAATTATACAATGTAGATGTCGTATGACTTTTTATTAATAAATTAATTTAATTCAAAAAAAAAAAAACCTATACAATGTACTTCCAAAATATAAGCTAAGTTGAATAATTAAAAAATTAAAAAAAAAAAAAAAAAAAAAACTTAAAGCTTACATCATATATTGTATTGGCGGGAATTTTTTTAATGATAACAACATATGTCCAAAATGATCAATATAAGCATGACCTATTTTAGTAATATTTAATAGATTTTTTGAAGGAAAAAAAAGTTATAAGTTAGTAAAATTATTACAATAAACTAACTCAATTATTATTATTTCATATGATTACAAATGTTTGGTCGATCATCCAAAAAAATAGTGACATTGATCAAGATGTGGCCCACAGGATTAAGTCGGGGTATTTAACTAGAGAGCGGCCACGGGAGTGTTATGTGACTGAAGCATTCCCTTAAAATTGAAGGAAAAATTCTACAAAAATGCCATAAGACCAGTATTGCTCTATGGTACAGAATGTTGGGCTTCTAAGAAAGAGTGCATTAAAAAGATGGAGGTTACAGAAATGCGCATGTTGAGGTGGATGTGCGGGAACACTCCAAGAGAGAGAATCAGAAATGAGGTTTTTCGCAAGAAAGTAGGTGTAGCAGGCATTGCAGACAAACTAAGGGAAAATCGCCTATGTTGATTTGGGCATGTAAGACGGAGACCCAAGGGTGCACCGGTTCGAAGAGTGGAAGAGTGGGACCATGGAGGGGTTAAACGAGGGAGAGAGAGATCGAAAATGACTTGGTTAGAAGGAGTTAGGAAGGATATGAACTATATGGATTTGCATGAGGATGAAGCATTGAATCGTAAGGGATGGAGGAGGAAGATTATTGTGGATGACTACACGGAATAATCAAATTTGGTTCATGTAGCCGACCCCACTTATGAGATTAAGGCTTTGATTGATTGATTGATTGATATGATTACAAATCAACACCATGAATAGAAATGCTTTTATTATGATAAACTTTAACTATCAATAACTTTAATTATCCATAAGTAAAAATTATAAAAGTTATATATTATGATAGTACTTATTGAGACGAATTCAAAAAGATCCAACAGGAAAATGTTTTTCCTTACATATTATTCACAAAATACGGTCAAAGGAGAAATGGTGAATAATGTAAAAGTCAAAACGGGTCAAGTAAAAAAGAATGGAGGAAGTAGTTTATTCTCCCTTAATTAAAAACTATTTTAAGTAAATAAAACACGAAATAAAAAAGGAATACAATTATTATAAAGATAATGTATAAGATTATGAATAATATATTATTATAGTTGTATTATATAAATATTCCAAAAGTAAAATATTTTTGCTAAAAAGGGAGGGGGAGTTTTGGAGGGAAAAAATAACACTAGGAAGTGACACGTGTCATTTCTGGTGTCTATTTTAGTATTATGTTATTGATAAATCCCAAAAGAGAATTTAAACAGTAGGCACCTAGCCACCTAGGTGTAATTTTACACAGCTAAAAAAATAAACCAAAGCTGACAAACCAACAAAAAAAAATCACTAATGTGGCTATCCTTTGGCAGAGGCACAGAGGATTCATCATCTATTTATCTTCCACATAGGTACAACGTAATAATCTTAATGATCTGCCTTTAAGCTAATCCATAATTGATGGAGGTGGGATTGTAGAAATGAACACATTTGTGGGACTTTGAACCTAGTTACCTACTCAAAAGTATAGCTGCCAAAGTCATGAAGACGCCAAGCTGTTAACATTGTATCTTTGGAACAGAGCCAAACACCTAACCTGCTGCTTTGATGTTTAGCTAATACTTCTTCTGTTCACTTTTAATTGCAACACTTTGACCAAAAGCGCTCACATTTTTAGACAATGTGTTGTAATTAAAAGTGAACGCAGGAAGTAGGCGTTTTGGAGTTAAGAGAGCAGACCACAATTAAAAACCATTATTTTACCATAAGGACTCTACAGTGAAAGTCAATTTCTAAGTCAATGCAGATATCACAGAAAAAGATGAGGAGAAAAAAATACCTGTATGATAATCTCTTGTGTCAACAATAATATGATAGTAGACAAATTCATAAAGAAAACTGAGAGAAAAGTGTAAGAGATGCTTACTCTATAGCAGAGGAAGGCTTGTTATCTTGCTCATACAATGCAACAAGAACTACAAAATAAATGTACAAGAAATGGTAAGTATAATGAAAATTTATGCAAGAAAACCAACATTTTTTTTTTTTTTTCAAATATAGAAGTGATCCACCTTTAAAGCTCTTGTGTTTCTGTGCTCATATATGTGTACATATCAGTATATGTACACATAAGTACATCTATGTGTACATATACTGATATACATACATGTATCATGTATGTGTCTCTTCAAGAGATTACATATGTATAGGTCAACAGAAATGCCAACCTTTAGTTAGAGAATCAATAGCGCCACTAGACTCTAAATACTTCCTAAAGGCTTCCTTTTTTGCTTCTTTTTCCTGCATAAAGAGGATATAGTAAGAGTCAATAATAATACAGGATGACTACCTCAGCTATAGTTTGACATAAAGAGACCCATAAACAGAGTCCTTCAAACAGTGTCCACTAAATATTAGCAAACTTAAAGGTAGACAAAACATTTAATGGGGCAATTTTTATCTAGGTTCACAGTAAAATATATCAACACACATGCACATGTGTGAGAAGAAAAAATGGAGCTATCTCGTCCCTCCGCTTATTGAATGCTAACCTCAAACTAGTGCACTTCATGTTGCATACTTGCATTCTAGTTTGTGCCACTAATAATATGTTTGTGGCTTTGTGCAGTTCTATGTTAGATGCCGGAATTTGAGTCAAGTTAGTACCTACAAAGGAGGAGAGCTATACAGCTTATACCACTTGCAAGTTGATGTGAAGTCTTATCCCATAACCAATTGGTAGGGAGAGGAGTATCTCCCTAGGCTTATAATTCTCTCCTAATCTCTAATATTGGACAACTCACAAACATATAACAAATAAATTACTCATAAATTTTGAGAGAATAGTAAAGAGGGAAGTTAGACCATGTATAAGTCCAGGTGAAGCACCATACCAAAATTAATTGGCAACGGAAGAAATAACACCCAACGCTTGTAATGTAGACAACTCACATAGTCATATGGAACATCTACAAAACCTTTAAGTATTCATCTTTCATGGCTTTCCCTTAATCCATGTGATCAGAATTTTAGAATTTTTTTTTTTGGGAGGGAATAATATAGCAGGGTTTTGATAGCATGTTTAGAGTGCACATAATTTAAGCATATTGACAGCTGTATGATAGGGCAGCAGAGATGTTCTAGGGATGATACTGAAAGTAGAAGTTGGAAAGCATAGAGCTAGGAGTTCAATCTAATGAAAGTTATAGAGCTAATGTAAGAGATAACAGTTTACCAACTAAGATAAGCAAAGAAGAGTTATAGCCTAATTTGTGCTAATTGTTACTCCCTCTATCCCTATTTGTTTGTCCCATAGACAAAATGTGCTTTATTAAGGATTGAACCAAAAGATTGCAAGTGGGTGAAGGTTAAGGTATTTTTACCCCGCCACGTGGTCCAATTAGAGTCTGCCACGTGGACCAATCAGAGTCCGCCACGTGTCACCCTAAGGAGAGCCCAAAGTGGACCTACCAGGGCTCGACACGTGGCACAACCAGTTAGTCCTAGGTTTCTGTAACCTAGGAAGGGCATGATTTCGAGGCCCTATAAAAGGGAGATGTTTCCTCCTAGGAAACGGATTTAGAAAAATTCACAGAGCAATCATTAATAGCAGATATTTAATTCTCCACTGAGAGAATACTCATGATCTCGGAATCCGAGAAGATACTTTACTTTCCGCACTTTTTTTACATCATCCGAACACGTTCTAACTTGATCGTCGGAGGCGGAACTCCACCCAACCAGAGTCTCCGTTATTTTGCAGGTACAGGTGCCCGGAATCCAATCTTGGAATTGTAACTCTCCCGATGGACACCGAAAACCCCGGAACAAAGGTATATTTGTCTTTTTCACTTTTATGAGTGTATGCAAGTAGGTTTAGTGGTGGGGGCATGTTATTATATTAGGGAAAGGGGCAATCTTTAAGGGACATCCCAAATTGGAATATGGCGCAAACAAATAGGGATAGAGAGAGTACCAATTAAGAATGACACTATTAAGTATTAAAACAATGGAGTTGTTCAAGCAAAGAATACATTCTAGTATAAGAGTACTAAGACGATAAACATCTGCTTTCAAATTTAATTTTACAATCGAGCCACTATTTATTGTCCACATATGCACATATTTAATACCATGACGAAGTTGGAAGCATATATGCTACAAAGTTCAACATACATTTTCAGTAATCGAATTAATGCAGAACCATCTTCAACTAAAACAAAAACAAGTGAGATTTTAACCCAAGACACATAATCCAAGCTGTTCAACATTGGAATTTCCCATCCATCAAGTGAAAAAACTTCGCTATATCAATTGAAGTATGACATATTCTAAATTAAAATTGAGCTCCTAGTAGAGTCTTCTCTAACCCCACTAGCCATCTCTTTTCTTCAATACACAAAGCCGATCAACATACCCTAAAAAAATGCCTACTCCAATTTTAAATCTATGATAACATTACTAATTTCCTATTCCAATACCCATTATCTTGTTAATAATCTGAAGATAGTGAAACATATATGAAATGTACCCATCAAATATTTACTATCAAAATACCAAGGTACACTACACTACATTGGCATCAAGAAACATGTATTTTCCTAAAATAGGGGTGCTTAAATCTCAAGAATTTCCACATAATAAATCATGCCCTGAAAATTTCTAACTTTTACAAAAATAGAAGTATAATTTTCGGCAATTGTGGTGGATCAAAGAATTATGTAATTACTTCCCAAAATGCAATATGCCCTTTAGCTTATACTTCTCGAAATTAATTTTCAGTGCTTGCATTTTAACAATGGAAATCAAATAAACTTGTAACTGCTTTGATCTAAAATTGACCCAAATAATTCAAAGAATGCAGAATTATTATTTTCTTTTTTTTTAAAAAAAAAACCCATCTAAATTTAACAATAATTTTACACCAACCAGCAACTATCAGAATTCAATATGACATAAGAAGAAATTAGTGTCTGGTTATCAATTGTCAAGCAACAAATGTAGAAAGTTAAAGTTACATTGGGAAAGTTAGTAGCTTTGCAAAAATGTAACAATAAGAAACGCATGATAATGCATATGGATTTAGTGGGTAATTTACAGATTTACAGGAAAAAGCATATACAGAAAGTTGAGAGATTATTTAAAGCTAAACAGAATTAAGAAAATTGCAGATGAAATGGTTTTAGGAGACTTACCATCATTGCTTGGTTTGAGTGATACTCTATTTTTATTTTTAAAAAAATTTGGTAGAGGAGTTGTTTGTTTAATTGAAGCGAATGGAGAGACAAAAAGGAGGGAGGCGGAGAGGGGAAAGAAATTACTTTTAAAAGTTACTCTTTCGCGTCTTATGTATTTCCTTATGTCCCAGACTCCCAACTTTGCATACATGTCGAATTGTCGATACACTATTTTGATTTTTTTTTTATCTACTTAAATGTTAATGAAATTATTTTTAAAATTATATTAAGAAATTTTATATTAATACTTATCTAACAATATATTTTATGATAAAATAAATTTTTATTATGTTAGTAAAAAATTATGCTCAAAGCTAATACGAGTACATAATAGTGAAAAAAAGTCCAATGTCTCACTTATTCTGTAACGAAGGGAGTACTTAAATAAAATTTACGAGGCATTTGGCACAAAGGATTTGGATAAGAAGGTAGAATAGTTTATTCTGAATTTGTCGTTTAGTCTAGATTATATGACTTTTATTCTGTATTCTCCTCACCTTATTATTATGATTATTCTTTAAAGCTTCTACGGAGTGATTTTTTATTTTTACGAAACTCAAATTATTTTTTTTAAATTGAATTTAACATATCGAACTTAATTATTTTTTCAAAATATTTTATGAGTAAGTTGGAGAGAACAATGTATTTTATAGACATAAATATAGATAACTTGACCTTTATGCATCGATTTATGAATACCAATAATGATAGATTTAGACATGATCAAAGTTCGCCCAACCCGAAAATGTCAAGTTTGGGCTAGTGGTGATCACGGGCCGAGCTTTGCCAAAAAAAATTTGGCCTATATTGGGTCAAGGCTTTGTGTCCAAAATAACATGCATGCCTAAACCCATTATTTCAGACATAAAACAACAGGCTTTTCGGGCCAAAATCGAGCCGGGTAAAAAATGTAACTAAAAATGAATTTTTAGATTGCCCAATACCCACCCAAAAAAAAAAAAAAAGTTTGGGGGTGGGTAAAGGTGAAGATCAAGTGAATCAACCACCAAAATAAAGGTTTTACGATGTAAAAAGGTGATTCTATTTTTTTTCCCTTCCTACACTGTGGCCCCATTTTTTTCACTCGAGATTCACAAAACTGAATTTTTGCTAAACATTGCTGAAATTAAGTTATCTTTGTTGAAATTAATTTATTATCACTAAAAATAATTAGTAATTTTTATTGATATAAACTTTTTTGTACAGATTCACTTTATATGTAATCTGTTAAGAATTAATTTTCTTATTAATTGAAAATTTACCTTTCCTTAATTCTATCAAACTTAATGTAATTTTGTCGAATATAACTTCTTTTTATTAAGCTAAAATTGTTTTTATATTAATTAAACTAAATATTATTTTAGTGTAATAAAAACCGATAACTTTAAAGAGAAATATTATAGAAAATAAGTAAAAATAATTTCAAATCTATAAAATTAAGTTAGTAAAATTAATTTAAGTTCCCAAAAAAATAATTTCATTTCAATATAAATAATTTTAGTGCAACAAAAATAAGGTGATGAGAACTAAGCCTAAGTATGAAATTAAAATAAACAAGAAAAAAAAAAAAAGAAGTAAAATTCTCATGGTACCATTGTGGTATTGACTTTTTCCATTGATACACTCCTGAACTTTTGACTCCCCACTGGTACACCTGTGGTTTAGTCTTTTTCGCAATTGTGACTAACACCGTTAATAAATAGCAAATCATTTTAACTAATTAAGAAAAAGACTATAATACCCCTTTTAAACACCTAATGTCTCGATTTGCGTGTTGAAAATTATTCTGTTAAAGTTTTGGGCATCATTTTAGCCACAAAAGTCAAAATTGACCTCCAAATTAGCAAATAAATAACGCAATGTCTTGTATGTGTGTCAAGAAATGTCTCGAGTTGCGTGTCGTTATTTTTTTCGTGATATAATCATTGTTTGGTTTTGGTTCCTTTTGGGGTCTAAATCGAGCTCGAAATTGACAAAAAATAACGGAAATGTCTCGTTTGCATCTCACGACAAAAAGATTTAAAAATATCATGACACACAAAACGAGACATATTCGTTATGTTTTTGTCGATTTTGAGCTCGATTTAGATCAAAATGACCCCTAAAACTTTAACCAAATAATTTTCAACACATAAATCGAGACATTAGATGTTTAAAAGGGGTATTATAGTCTTTTCCTTAATTAGTTAACTTAATTTGCTATTTATTAACGGTGTTAGTCATGGTTGGGAAATAGACCAAACCACAGGTATACTAGTAGGAAGGCAATAATTCAACCGTGTATTAATGAGAAGAGTCAATACCAATTTTATATTTGCACAGTAACAAAACTTCTTAAAAAAAAACCCTAAAAACTTCTCTATTCTCTCTCTTCAAACTTAAGCCACCATATTAAAACTTAGGGGCTCCCATCGATTTTTATCAGTGGTAAGCCCCAAATTCTTCTTCAATTTAATGTTTTTAGCCAATAAAGATCACCAACAATATGGTGATTATAGTCAGTCCTTCCATGTAGGCTGTAGTATTGTTTGTTTGTTTGTTTTTCGTGTGTGCAGGGATACAAATTTGGAATATTCGTCTTGCAAATTTGTGGAATTGCGAGTGTGTTGGTATAGGGGTGCAGATTCAGAAGATTCATTTTACAAATTTGCAGATCTTGATGATCAATCAAGTTTTATCACTTTTACGACTATACATCAATGGAGCTCTGTCAAGAACGATGTAAAGACATCTAATTTATTCAGGAGCAATTTAGAAGAGATGCCATTAGTTTAGGGGTGTTTAATTCTTGTATTGAGAATTTAGATCTCTTAAGGGATAATTGTAAGTGACGAATGATATTATTATTTAATGAAATCACCCCTCCCTATTCCATTTAAAAAAAAAAAAGTCAATACCACGGTGGTATCAATGGAAATTTCCCAAAAAAAAAGGGGAATAATTAATTAGTGCTACGGAGTATGAGCAAAAGTTAACTCTTTTTTTTTTAGGAAAGCAAAAGTTAATTTCTATAAACGAGAGACAGCAAAAATCTACACGATTTTCATTTTCATATTGCCTGTACAACTACAGCCAGGAAGGACTATGTTTTTATGAAATCCCAAAGGCTCCAACTGAAGCTCTGTAAAACTGAGGAATTATAGATATTCTAGGAATCTGGATATTGAACTACACTAGAAAGCTAGTGTAAAAGCAAAAATAATACGTCAAACCTATCTATTTTTTCAGAAAATTTGTGCTAGACTCAAAAACAAGATGATAAAAAAAATTGTGCTATCTTGAACAAGTGAAAGTAACTAGTCAGAACGAGGCAGCAGGAAGCTGAATCCCGAATTGTCGCGAATAAGAGGAGGAGGTTCAACGTCTGAGATATCTGTTTTTTCCATTGATTTTGATATGTCATCAACAGAAAATGGAATACTGCACCAAATTGAAAAAAGTAAAAAAATTAGTCTCTAACAAGCAGCATATGATCTACTACCTCCGTTTCATATTTTTTGCAACTTTAAGATATTATTTGTGAGATATAAAATATTTCAAAACTGCAAAAAATATGAAACGTAGGTAGTAGTTTTTGTTGATCACTTGAAAAACTCTTTATATCTTGAGTATATCAAGATGATAAACTTGAATTTTCTCGGAGAGAAACATGTTTGTTGAGTAAGGCATCACTACTAGTTCTTCAAGTATGTAACACATAAACCAGTACAGAAAAGAGTTCCAGAAGAAATGGAGGAATGCAGTTCACACTATGGCAAGACAAAGCGGGATCAATGTAATTATTGTAATTCACTATATTCTCTAAGAGAAGTCAGAAATACGAGCAGACCTTGAATCATCATCCAACAGGAAAGAACTGCTAACTGCGCTGTTTGAGTCTTCCGTCATTAGGACCCTCATATTAGATATAACCTGGTTGCAAAGAATAAATTATGCTAGCAATTGGACATATTAATTCCAAATAATCATGAAGGCAAATATTGACCGCTGGGCTTACCTCTGGACTCACGCTATGGGTGCCATACCTGTCATCCCAGTACATTGTGCTTATCCGGTACAACTGTTGTATACTTAGAACCTACCCACAGGCATAAACAGTGGTCAAAACTTTTTGAAGATATTACTATGCTGATCAACTATTGCTCTCAATTATTTTTCACTCACAGGGCAGAGGTGATGGCTAATTTCATCCAAGGATTTCTTTGGCTTCTGATGTATGACCTGGGGGGAAAAAAAAGTACAAAATCATATTACCACTCAGCTCTCTTGCACATCAGTCGTGATGATAACTGTGTCTGATTAATCAAAGATGATGAAAGGAGGTACGTTACCAGAAAACCAATAGCCTGCCTAATATGCTTCAGTTCGTCCCAGGCTGAACCTGCATACTGCATCCTTTCCATATTACTTCATATTAAATAGAGGATAACTGCATATATTCAAAGATCAAGTAAGCTTAAAATCTGATACCTCTTCTGTTGCAAGGTAACACCAATGTTCAAGCTCAGCCAAACCGGCCTTAACATATTCACCATTACTAAATGAACAGCATTCACGCCTTAATAGAAGGCTGCACCAAAAAGTGGAGAAAGCTTATGTTATATTTTCTATCAAGAGTAAGAAAATCCCAAAATATAAATGAAATACAATACCTGTTGAATAATTGAACATTGATGAATGAGAATATTTGTGTGAATACCTTTCGTGCCAAAAATGGAGGCACCTGAAACAGGGGGAAGAAAGAACAAGCCAAAAAAGCATTAATGGTGCAAAGACTAGCAAAAAAAAGCATATAATAGGATGGATGTTCACTTAAGACATCAAAGGGGGAGTAGTAAAGTTATGTCTATATAAGATTGTTTTTTTTTTTTTTTTTTTTTTTATAATCAAAAAGGCATTCATAGACCAGCGCAATCAGAACCAGCCCATTGAAATAAATTGCCTCATTGATCTTCCCCCTTTCTGTCTAGTTCTTACTTTCTTCCACCTTTTCTGTTTACTCTCTTTCATGCTGCTTCACCTTTTCTATTCTTTTTTCCAGTGGAGGTAAGCTACTATGGCACAGGACAAGAAGAAACCAAAAGAAACATAAGAACAAAGAGGTTAAACTAACATGATTTGCTTTCGATGTGTTCAAGAAAGTCCTGAGACTTTTAACAATTGCTTGCCAGTGAGCAATCAACGATTGCTGGGCTGCAGTGCTTGCAACTGAACGTGATGAACTCTTGACTAAACTTGCCCTTGATGTTCGGGGAGCCTATTTAGAAAAAGGGCTAGCTCAAATTAGAGATAACATCCAGGACTAGTGACTTCTATTTCAACTCAAGGAAAAAAAGGCAAAGTACAAAACCTGGATGCACAATCCAAGCAGTGGAGAAATTTCTTTCTTAAGATTGTCTCGAATCATTCCATAAATCTTTTCAACGTATGCTGTAAGCTGCTGCTTGAAAAGCAAAGCCGGGTACTTGGCTTCAACTTGGCGCAGAGAATCTGTACCACCAGTCATGCCATTATTGACAAAGGCAAGACTAACTCCATGTGGAATTCCTCGAAAACTCTATATAGAGGCAAGGAGGATACGGGACAGTTAAGTTTGTCACTACAAAAATCAGATCTTTCAAGAAAATGTATCTACTTCAAATGACATAACTTGGAAAGATAACCTTCTCAGATAAATCCTCTTGTACCTGGCTCATCCTCCCAAAAAGAGTAGCTGATGACGTCCTGCGGCGCTGTGGTGCCATTCCAGCCGCGGTATTTGCCTTCAGTGTGTGTTGCAGCAGCAGAAGAAGAGTTGACGCATTTGACAACCAATAAGCCAGTACATCATTGTTATCCTGGGCCTATTTTCAAAGAAAATGAGATTTAACTTAACAGATTTGAAAGACTAATCCAGAATATAAGCTAATATATGTTACATTATATCTACTTTGATTCTCATCTAGAAACCTCAATAATCTCAAACCACTTATTCGTAAATAGAATGTAAAATGTGAGGGGCAAAAAGAATTTGATGTGATATCTGTCCACAAATGGGGATGAAATCAAAATATTAACAGCTAGGAAACAAGTCAACTTGAAAAGTGTGCATGTGTTTGTAATTTGTAACGTAAAAGACCATGCAAACTTTTTTTGACTAATGGATGCCAAGGACATCCCGCTGGTGTCCAATCATTGAACAGTGTCCCTGTTTCCAAAAAAATTTGAGCTTTAATGTGTCTGGTACTTGCATATGTTCCAATGTCCAATACATTCACTTATATCTTAGTAACATAGTGGCTCAGATTACAAACCTCAATAGCATGACCAATTGTCTGTATAATTCGGTCGAAAATACCAGTTCGCTCCACTTCAAATGATCTCCAATGGAGAAGGCATTTGTATATTAAGCAGGCAGCTATAGGTCTGTTCCCTGCAAACCCCAGAGGCTGCACTATACATTGAATAAGCAATTCCTGATTCTCTTGCTGTTTCTCATTAAGAGATTTTTGTGGTTTCTCTTCTACTTCAGTTTCTCTATGATTCATGGAAGGGCTATGCAAATCCTGAAGCATCAAGAGGAAGTTATATGAGTAAAATAGAAACTGCAGTAGGCATAATGCAAAGTGGCCGAGCATAAATATTTTAAAGAAGGATATCCTATAATGCGTGTCAACATATTGGTTACTTTCAGATCCCCTCTGCCAGTCAAACAGGAAAACAAGGAGCATTAGAGAACATTTAGATTTCATACTTTGGAGATTATTAATTTGTTAATCCCTCCATCCCAAACCAATTTTTCTATTAACATTAAGTCAGTTCCCATTGTAAGATGTCCCAAAAAGATCATCCTGTCAGTTATAATGAAACAATAATAAAAATGTTATCTTCTCATGAGCACTTTGGGCCCTTCTCTAATTACCTTTTCACACTATCACATCAATTTTTTTTCACTTTCCTTTACAAACGTTTTCTCTCTCATCCACTTATTCTCCACGTCCAAAACTAACAGCAAGGCTATTTTCAGATAGAGTGAGTATTCAGTATTCATCACCGAGTATACCTGAAGAACCAACCGATCTTTGGCGACCTGAGGTGAACTTATTGGATGACAATGAGACAGCTTGTTGGCGAAGAACTTGATTCTCTGATTCCAAATTGGCAATCTTCTCTTCTAGCCTGATTGGAAAGAGAGGGGGGGGGGGAGTGAAATAAATGGAAGTGTCGCCAAAAATTCGATTTATCAGAACTGAGTCAAAAATATTGAAGAATAGTATACACATGTTTTGAACATGCCAAAATAATGTTGATTCAGATCCTCCAAGCCTCTCAATTCACTATTGAAAGTCTATATAATGCAGCAGTTACTGATTCACATCTTAATGAAAGAAATTACTAGCTTAACATGATATAAGCAAACTAAGCACATTACACAAACACCCATTCAGGATTGGTATCCAATGTAGGTACTGCAGTCTCGAAAAGAAGAGAGAGAAATAGGCAAAATGACAACTTAAAATTAAAATCAAATAGCATACATAGCATCACATCAAAGGGATGGAGGCATTGATAGAAACACCACACAGCAACTTATTGCTTATGACCGAGCACTACCCCACCCTCTTCAGGGAAGGTCAAAATGTATGCATTCAAGTTTCAATTTCATGTTTCAGACCAACTCTCAGTGCTTAAGGCTCACAAGGTCTTAAACACTATAACAGAGTTATCTTGAATGCAAAACTTATCAGCTTGCAAGGCTTTCTCCTTGACAACAACGTATATACAGTTTCTTTTATAATAACGAACCAATAAGTTCAAAACTTGATATCGGGAATTTTCTCCAAGTAAAATACAGGTTTACAAAGAACCAGGCAGTCTGAACATATCATCAGGAAAGCCTCTCAGATAAAGTTGACAGGATAAAGCATCTAGGATCTTCGAGATACCGCAGATTTGGCAGCTTCTATCACCATTATCTAAAAGTAATATACATATAATAAATTAATTATCCAGCTACTTTTCTGCACCAATTGCACATAACTTCCTAATGAGATGAAAGTAAAACCTTAGCATCTGTAATCAAGGAGACATGGACCCATTAATTTATAGTCTTCATGACTCAGAATCTACACAAAAATGAGCTAGAACCAGCTTCCTTTACATTAAGTTACCAGAACAAAACCCACAGCAATACCAAAATTTGGGTTGCTAGTAAGGGAATGCTTCAACAACCTTACATTGTGGAGGTGAGAAAACTCTCTTCTAAAGTCTTCTAAAGCACAACTTGAACATCTATTTAAGCCACTTATAACACCATCTTTATTCAGACATGTAAGAAAGGAGACTTGCATATGCTTGTAATAACATTACCTATTGAGGGATTGTTGGAGCAGCAGGACCTTTCTATCTGAGTCATCCAACTTTTTAAGCCTCGCTTCATTCAATTCATGTGCTTCAACAAGTTTCCGATCAGATTCATCAGCTCTTTGTTTTTCTGCTTCAAATAAGGCCTGAAGATCATAGAGCTTAAGAAGTCAAATCAAAGTAAAAGTAATAATAATAAAAATTACAAATTGCACATAAGCTGATCGTGAAATGTGGAATTCATGCAATACCAAAAATAATTCAAATGCAATTTCAACTATATTGGAACGCGTAAAGATATACATTTTTTACTAATTTTATGGGACCAAAGAAGTATGTCTAAACCTTAAAATTTTCCACTTCTGCTTTCATAGAATTTAGTTTTTCTGTGTCTTCAACAAATACTGGAGTTTCTTTGACAATAGGGGGTGCTTCTTCATGGGCCTGTTTCAGAGCTTCTCGTTCCTTAGCAAGTAATGAATTTGTCTCATCTATTTTGATCTCCATAGCTTGCACAGTAGTTTGCAGTTTTGCTATTTCCTGGGATTTTGCTTCCTCTATATCAGTCTGCAAGATAGTAGCATATCTTCTTATTAGAGCATCAAAGGAGGATAAATAATGACTTGAGAGCAGTATTCAGCCAAAACCTAGTTCTTAACAGAATTCACAACTTCATAACTTGCAGATAAGCAAAAATGCAGTACCCGCAACCGTTTTTCTAGCTGTAAACGCAATGATAGGTCCTCAACTTTCTTCTGAAGCTTGTCCTTTGCTTCCTTGAGGGCCCCTGTTTCTCTTGACGCCTGACCAATACAAATGGAAACCGTTGATCAAAAGCATGAAAGTAACAAGCTGAGGGGAGCATCCATGAGATATTATCATGTTAAATGATGGTTCTTTTGACTCGGATTTGAGTGTTTGACAAAGACGGTAACAGGATGTTATATATAGAATGGATAAACAGAAGAAATAAAAATAAGAAGAAGAAATTTGGGAAATTATTGATAGTTAATTTTTTTTTATGAGACTAAATCACCAAATAGAGCAAATCAATCCCAGCTTAAGTGGCTGGACACTTTCACTAAGAATTAGCTACAGAATAGAACTTTTCATCAATATTGATCACATCTCCTATCTCCCTATTGGGCTCTATTTATAACATTCCTCCTCTACTTAGCTCACTTTTTTTTGTTTTGTTTTTTTTTTTCCCCCTCAAGATACTAGTCAGATTGCACTACTTATAATGCCCTTCCCCATCGACCTGATGCATTACAGATACTGATAAGATGGAAGATTGCATTTAGCTTTAATCATATCCATGCATAGATGGTGATTATTCCGGTTCAGAAAATCGAGTATGAAAAGCTTAAATGTTAATGAACTAATCAATTGATTTACTAAATGGATTCTACGTAACAATCTCTCTCTCTCTCTCTCTCTCTCTCTCTCTCTCTCTCATCTCATTTCTGATCTCCATGCGATCTCTCTCTCTCTCTGATCTCATTTCTGATCTCCATGCGATCTCTCTCTCTCTGATCTCATTTCTGATCTCCATGCGATCTCTCTCTCTCTGATCTCATTTCTAATCTCCATGCAATCTCTCTCTCTGATCTCATTTCTGATCTTTCTTTCTATGATATCATTTCTGATCTCTCTCTCTCTCTCTCTCAGGGGTTTTGAATTCCCCACTAACTCTAAGACAATCATTTGAAGACGAAAGGAGTATGTATAATATGATTAATATCTACAACAAAAACAAGGATGAGAAAATCAAAATGACAACAGCATGATCAAATTGACTGTAAACCATGGATTAAATATAAAGTATATACCAAGGCAATTCTAGTTTCAGAAAAAGTAGCAAGGAAGATATTGTAAACAACAAGCAAAGTAACAAAATTTACAATTATCCATGGATTAAATATAAAGTATATACCAAGGCAATTCTAGTTTCAGAAAAAGTAGCAAGGAAGATATTGTAAACAACAAGCAAAGTAACAAAATTTACAATTCTCCTAGATTTGCATAGAGGATAGCATCTATTCAAAGATGAAAAAATAAATAAATAAATAAATAAAAATAAAATATCATAAAACTAAGGAATTCCCTGCCATATCTCCACAACTAAACAAAAAAGGTCTAAGCTGTTCTTGTCTTCAACCTGTTAGTTTTACTTAATTCTATAATGCTTTCATCCAAATAGAAGGGTATTGCTTCTACTTAATATCATAAAGGCTAAAGTATGTCCTTAGTCTGATCCTAACAGAATCGCAAGACAAAAAGCTTCGATTGCTACGTGATTAGCATTCTTAACATGTATTTGTACAAAGAGTTGCATCACCCTGTGCCATCAACACTCAAACCCTCCTATATAGGTTATCAGAAAATCTATCTTGACTGAAAAACCAGCTGCAGCATTGCACGACACTAAATTTATTTGAACAAGAATAACATACAGCTGACTAATACTACGGCCCTGTTCACTTCACCTTAAAAAAATAATATTAAGTAAAAATAAGTTCAGTTTAGTAAAAATAATTTCAGTTCAGTAAAAATAAGTTCAGTTTAGTAAAATTCAGTAACTATAAGGAAAAAATATAATAGAAAATCAGTAAAAATAATTTCAATTCAGCAAAAATAATTTCAGTTCAGTAAAATTAAGTTTAGTTCAGCAAAAATAATTTCAGTTCAGTAAAATTAATTTCAGTTCAATAAAAATAATTTAAGTTCAGTAAAAATAATTTCAATTCAGTAAATTTAATTTCAGTTCAACTAAAATAAGGTGGAGTAAACGGGGCCTACATGTCCAGAAAACTCTTTTGAAGCACTACCCAGTAGACCTTACCCTATCCCCTTCACACAGTAGCATTAGCAGAAAAGGTGTTCATTTCATTAAATCAAATATCTATATTACATGTGATGGCCTAAATTTTTGTTCAATCAGCCAAGCTTGGAGCATTTAATTCTTCCTCAACCACATTCTTCAGATGTATGCTGTTGGTATCAAGAAATAGAATCATAGCCATTAAATATGATGTATTTATCAAACCATGAAGTTATGTGAATTCCCCATGAATTTGTATCAGGGGGACAAGGACTTATCCCACAGACCTGTCTCCATAACCTGCCCAAAAGGGATCATCTGAAGCCAATCACATGTCAGTCAGTCAATGCTTAAAAATCTAAAGATGTACCATGTCAAGCCCCTCACACACTAGTTAACTATTGCGAGGGGGGGGGGGATTGGGTGTATATAATTGTTAGTTTCCCTACCCAATCCTTTGTCAGGGTAAATTTATCTCCTGCCAAGCTATATAAGAGAAGGGCTAATCCAGTTTATCAAGAAATTCATCTCCCAGCATTATGTGAATTTTCTGTTTATGTTGGCTGAGGACATAAATGATAAGAGACACTGCCATGTAACTATAGGATGGATATACAGGATGGCACAACAAGCATGATGCAAGCAAAACTGAATAACTGACCATCTTGAGCTTTCTTAGTTCTCGTTTTGCAAGTCTTCCCCTCCATCTACATTGTGTAACTAAGGATGCTTTCCTTAGCTTTTTATAGTATGAAGAAGCTCTATGGCAACACCATCGGCTCTGTCCCAAGTATGACCAGAGTGTCAGAAGTATTATCTTCAGAACAGAATAATATGATAAAATGAGCCAATTCTGAAAGAAAAAAATTGAACCTGAATAAGAGTTGCCACTTTGTTTTGCCTTCTAATGTGGTATTCTTTATGAGCAGCCATTGTCCGTAAAGTCATTTGCAAGGCTAGAACTGCGACACGAAGTTTATTATACTTATTCTTAGCTTGATATTTACGTGCATTCTTTTGAATTCTTGTAGCGGCTGCTTCCCTTCTCATTTTGTCAAACAATTTGCAAGCAAGGTTTCCTAAAGCCACATGAAAAATGCACATGAATCAATCATAAGTATAAATTACATGTTAAAATTCATATAACTAGGCAAAGGAACATTTCCTTGGGTTCTCACACAGAGAGACAGAGAAAAGAGGAAACAAGGGGGGGGGGGGTGAGGGGGAGGGTAGGAGAGACTTGTAAGCAAATGTGCAGCAAAATTGTACGATTTATAATCCTTTAATTTATAGAGATTATAATAAAAAGAAATACACTCATTTTTACTAAATATGAGACATGAATGAATTAGTTCCCTAATTAGATTAACAGTATGTTTGGGCAGGAATGGCGGAGGGAAGGTGTGGGTAGCCTTCCAAATCTTCCAACAACATAAGGATTTGGTTTATTGTAAGTGTAAGGGTAATGGATCCCTTACCATCTCATCCCATCCCTTCCCTTCCTGTCACCCATTCCCATATCCAACAAGGGAAATAAAGTTTCACTCTCTTTAACCCTTTAAATTCCCTCATCTAAACAAACTATTAGAGATTCATATTTTTTTGTTTTAGAATGTTGACTCATGTTCAGGGACTGTTAGGAAAATAATATTGGGGGCATAAATGTATGATCATATGTGTATAAAAGCTATCTTAAAGCAGCACATAGAAGTGATCAGCTTTATGTTTCGGCATATTTGGCTTATTAAGCATCTAAATTGGTATTGGATAATATATTTAGAACCTAGTTCCATCTCTTTTGATTTTGAGGGAATGCGGTTGAAGATTGTATATACCATAAGTTCAATGGGAGTAAACATATTTTCCTAGTCTTATGTGTTGATGACATATTGCTCGCGAGTAACAATATAGAGCTATTGCATGAAACCAAGAGATTTGTATCAAAGAAATTTGAAATGAAAATCTAGGAAAAACATTCTTTGTCTTAAAATTTGAGATATATCGAGATTTTTCTCGAGAATATAACAAAGAAACTATATTGAGAAGATTCTTGAAAAGTTTGGCATGCAAGATAAGCCAGGTGATACCCCTGTCGCTAAATGGGATAAGTTTTGTCTCGACCAATGCCCTAAAAATAATTTCAAACCATAGAGATGCAAAATGTTCCCTATGCTTTGGCAGTGGGGAGCCTTATATTTGTACACGTCCAGACATTGTGTAAATTGTTGGCATGTTTGGTAGATATTTAAGCTATTCGTGATTGGAACAATGGGAAGCAATCAAAGACTAAAACAGTAATGTGATATCTTCAGAGAACAAAACACTACATGCTCACACATAGGAGGTCGGGCCAGTTAGAGAACACTGGGTATTCCAACTCCGATCATGTTAGATGCCAAGGCTATTCTAGATCCACTTCAGGCTATGTTTATCCTCTTGCCATTGGATCCATATCCTTAAAGAGTGATAAATAGGAACTTATACAGATTTCCACTTTGGAAGCAGAGTTTATAGCATGTTTTGAGGCATCTAATCAGATTTTATGGCTGCGAAATTTAGTCACTGGACTGTGAATTGTAGATGGTATTGAAAGACCTATAAAGATATTGTATGACAATAGGTCCGCGGTATTGTATTCTAATAACAATAGTAGATCGTCAAAGTCAAAACATATTGATATCAAGTTCCATGTTAAAAAAAAAATTCTTAGTGGAAAGAGTTGAGGGAACATATTGAAACAATCTTTATGAATGTGAATCTCCTTACTAAGGGACTACCACCCAAGATCTTTCATGAGCATACAACTCACATGGGTACTATGACATTTGGTAATGTTTTGATATATGTAATCATTGGGGGCTTAGTCATAATATTAAACACAAAGGCTGTTTTTGGTCCTAAGTTGGCATGATTATTGATTAATGGACAAAATTTCTAAGTGATACCCTCGTTCATGATAGCAAAGATTTGAGGTCATAAGAGTATACATATTATACGAGGAAATCAAAAAATACATGAAGCCCAAGTGGGAGATTGTTCATAAAATAATAACATAGGATCATATGTGCATTAAAGCCATCTTAAAGTCAGCCCATTGAGGTAATCGGTTTTATTATTCAGTGTATTGGGAGTGTCTATTTTGAAGTAATTCTAACAATGGCGCTATTTATAATGGAGAATTTACCTCTCAAAGATGCTTGTATGCACTCTGCTGCCTCACGCAATGCAATAAACTGTTTACGGGCATAATAAGTTCGCATACGTCTCTGTACAATCTTTGCTGCATTGCTGAGTACCTCGGCTCTTCGGGCATCCAATTCAGCCATCTGACCAGCTCTCAGGAACACTTTAGTTTTGCCTATCTGCAATAAATCTGTTATGTAAATATCTGAAGACAAAATAAAGGAAACCAACCATCAAGTGGACAAATAAGTTTGGCTGAATTTAGATAGGATTAAGCAGAGCAATTCACTTCAACAATACACTGATGTCCATATCAAACACAATAACTCAATTCTGTTGAAAAATTAGCATCAAGCAGAAACCTTAGAGGCTATAGTGAAGAATCAAATAGTCATCATCGCAAGGATAGGAGTAGAGTAATACCTGGTAACCTTTTAGCCCTTTCTTTTCCAATATTTTTTCACATGCAACTTTGTCATCATAACTGCACACGAACTTGGTCAGTTAATACCAGATAAACCATTAGGAGGGGGAGAGGAGAAGAGGATGGAGTGACTTTGTCAAAAAAAAAATCAACAGAAGCAATAGTTCAAATTCAGCTTTACATTAAAAAAAAAAAATTGAAAGAAGATGATACATACTTCCCTTCTAAGGCCTCTAGAGCAAGGAGTCCAAATCTATTAATAAACTCAAAGAAAAGACGACGAGTAGGGTAACCTGCACAACTGATTCTGATTGCCTCTAGGACCCCCTAAATGAACAAGCAAAAAGTCGATAAGTCAGATTGAACCAGAACAATAAACGTGATAAAATTCATTCTATAAATTACAAGTAGTAGTCAAATAGATAAGTTGCACTCACGCCACAACGCAATTGTTGTAAGATGTTCACATTCTCAAAAATAGCAGGCTTAAGATGATTATTTGGCTTTATACATCTTATGTAATGAGGTTCTGTTGAGCTTAGTATCTCCATCAGCTGTTGCAGTTGTAACTACAACAATAAACCATATAACAACATTATCAACCTATTCTACAGAAAATGAAGAAAGTTCCTTAAAAGTCAAATATGTCGAAAAGTACCTTAAACCGAGAGCCTATAGAGGAAAACTTAGAAGATTTGTTTGAAGATTTTGTTGTCTCCTCAACCAATGGAGGAAAAAGGCCTGCTACAAATGGACATTTGGAAGATGTTACCAGGTCTTGATGTTCAGGCACCATATAGTCCTTATTTTTGTCCAAAAATTGATCTGATTGATATAGGACCTAAATCAAAATGCAGTGAATGCAAATGAGTATCATTGCACCAATGACAAAGCACAATAAATGACTGAAAGGTCGACATACCTCCCCAGCATAATGAGAAATAATGAAGTCTGTTCTTGAAAGCTTTGGCTTGAGAAGGCGCTTGTGATTTTTGTAAGTCTGATAAAGCTTTGATGCAAATGTCTCAGGAGTTGACTTGGGGAACATACTAGAGAAAAAGAAAGTATAACGAAAAATGTGCGTGAGCCCAACTGGGAAAGTGTTTTAACCAGCCTGCCTCAAGATAAATCTTGCAAAGGTAAAGCAACCTTAGAAAAGGCGAAGGAACAAGAACTGTGTGCTTTCTTTATTCAATACATGCGTATCTATACAAAAGTAAAAAAAAAGATAGCTTACCAAGCCTCATCCAGAAGAGCTATTATTCCGCCTGGTTTCTGCAAAGAAACATAGGGAAAGGTCAGGCAAAGCAACTATCCTAATTCTAAATAATAGTTGCATGGGAAAAAAAAAAGTGAGCAAGAAATTCAACTTAATAGGTAAAATCCGTATCAGATCAATAAAAATCAGCTTAACACAACAGGGCCTTTGACGCGAAGGAAAATGATGATTAATGGTTCAAGTCTTTCTTCAAAAGTTTAATGTTGATTACTTTACTTAGTTTATAAAAGCTAAACCTTAAAAAAGAAAAAATAAATGGGAAAAGAAACTAGAAAGAAAAGAATATGCATCTCACAACATTGAGAGAATCAATTTTAAAATAGGTATATATAGAAATTTGTCTCAGTAATTAGCCCACATTCTCCCAAAAAACATAAAATATTTCACAAATTTACTTGATCCATTAATCTCTTCCCCTGGGGATTGGGCCTCCTTGTCTTCCCCTCCCCACTCCCTCCTTTTTTCCTTCATGGCATAACAAGGTTCTCCAAAACAAGGAAAAATAAATTATCAGCAATAAATGGGAAGATAAAGGACATATATGGTGAAACAAACACTCAAACCCAAAGAAACAAGAGCAATAAAAGAGGAAAAAAGAAAAGACGAAAGACAGGCACATATATAATTCTAGGGATGATTACCATGGTAAAAGAAAAAATGAAAAAATAAATTACAGACCAAGAATCCATGTGAAACTAAACTAAGCTAATCACAAGGCCAAAAATCCCCCTTTTTGTTCGATTTTTTTTTTTTTTTTTTTTTTTTTTTGGGTGAAGGAGAGGGGCAAGCCCCTAATTTGTTCGAAATGTTCCTCATAATATAATTATATATACAAAAAAAAGCCATATCAAAGATAGGCCATAAGACCTCTTGGTTCTTGCAACTATGCTAACTGATAGTAGATTATTCATATGATTACATTTAGGGTAATGATATATGTAGCCCTTAAGGCTATATATAAGCATTAAATATACTTCCTGAAATGGAATTAAGTTGGGAATTCATGATAAAATCACGCACAGATTGGTTAATTAATGTTATTTTATCTTTAATATTTCCTCTTTTAGCTTCTTATACATAGCCCTTAGGGCTAAGTTTATCATTTTCCTTATATTTATTATCATTGACTTGTTCTCCGATGACAAAATTACAGATCCTACCCTCTAGTCCTCTACATAGAAGCTTCCTGCACTCAGTTTCTAAACTCCGACCTATCACCCTTAAGTTTGAAGGTGCAAGGTTATTAATTCATAATTCATGACTATGAATGTTGATGTGCTAAACTAATCACTCATAAGCACTGGGAAACTTCAACTCCCAATTTTTATAAATCCGTAGATAGGAAACAAATTTTCTAACTGGACTACTTGCCGTTAACATGAGATTTTATACCTCAAGTTCTAATCTGTATATCTGCATTCTGTAAATTTCTACCTCTAATCTTATTTTGACAATAAGCTCTAGATCCTGCCTTTCATTTCTTGCAAACAAGAATGTAAACAACTAAACAATCATGCAATCACCAGTTCTTAACTTTGTAAACAACGCAATTATTTTATATGCTAGTTAACCCAATCCTATTTAACTTTACATATCAGCACACCAAAAATTAAAAGAGCAGACTATTACCAAAAATCGAGATCACGAGTCTATGGTAACACTTAGAGAAGCCCCAAGGTATAGACCTGTTTCATTTTATCTCAACCCCCAACCCCCCCCCCCCCCCAAAAAAAAAAAAAAAAAAAAAAAAAAAAAAAAAAAAAAAAATCCCACACCCAAAATCTTTGGGATAATGTGTTGAAGGTGAGTGCATTCATGATTTCCTCACACCTATAATATGACTCATGACTATCATACATGGTACTTCAGTTTATTTCCACTCCCTTTTATTTGGGCTGCAAAAACGGCATAGAGCTACATTGTTCTTCAATTTGTGTTGATAAAGCTCAATTGTTTCATTGATTCACTTTCTGATCTAGAATCTTAAGATAAACTCTGATCATAGAAATAATTCCCCCCCCCCCCCCTTCCTTCAATTCAATTATCATAACCTTAAAGGATTTTTCTTAAAACCCATATCATTTAGGGCTGAGACTGAGATTCTTGGTCAAACAACAAATTGAAAGATAACTGAGAAAGAAAATTACCTTTTCTATAAGATCAAGAACACCTTGATTGTCGACAAACTGAATGTAGCTCCAATCAATCTTCTCTTTTGTGTACTCCTCTTGCTCCATTTTGAAGACATGCTGCAAGTGCCCACAAAGTTTTATTAAAGCTGAAAAAGTAAAAGCAATTGAAAGTGCAAGATTTATACAAAAAATCTCACCTGGTTAAAATGTTGCTGAAGCTTTTCATTTGTAAAATTAATGCAAAACTGCTCAAAGCTGAACAAGATGATACGAAAATATAAGTTTCTCCTTGTCTTTCAAGACAAAAAGGCTTTCCAAAAGTTTAAATAAACATAATCCCTTCGTATAAGAATAACTGTCACATTGTCCCAACCCTGTAAATTTTACAAGTCTCCATGGTTTTACTAAAATAACTTTGTGATACTTGTGATACCTAGTGTCCCAAGGAGTATACATGACTAAAATTTATGGACAGATGAGAATTGTTACAAATGACCAGGAGTGATCCACAAGAATCAGAAGGACATATCATAAACAGTACAAATTTAGCAATCAATGTTCCTGAAAAACGGGAGGGAAAAGGCCACATGCACTTAAATTCTGAGACAAATTCTCAAAACCACTTTTAAGGCCACCAAAATCCAATGAATGTTGCTTACCCTTCCAGTAGGAACAAACAACAATGACACATGTCAAATGATATTCCAAAGAACGAAGGCTCATTTAAGAGGTAACTACCTTAACCAAAACAGCACTCACATTACCTAACTAGACATGTAAAGGGTCCAACTGGAATCTACACAAATTTTGCCATTGTAATGCTTAGAATGCCATCAGCCAAAACAGTCCCAAACGCCCAGAACTCAGATCTGCTAATAAAGTTACAGCTTCCATAATAAACAACAGATGTATACTAGGTACAAGCAAAATTGGCTGACGGAATTCTATTACCAAGTAAAATAGATTCTCTGCAGATGTCTAACCTCTGATAGACCAGAAATTAGTCAGAATAACATGAAACTCCTACCCATGTCTTCACAGTAAATATATATATATATATATATATATATATATATATATTTTTTTTTTTTTTCTTGTCAACTTTGTTTATTCTTACCTGTTATGCTTAAAACTTTCAAAACCATAGATATCAAGGACACCAATCAAGGACTTTGAATTTGAATCCTGTCCAATTGATACATTAATTTTATCAACAAGCCTGCAAAAGGAAAACAAAAAATCTAAGAGGAGAATGACATCAATATTCAAATTCAAAAATAGATAGGAAGCGGCAGCAATAGGATTGCTCTAACACTATAATCATACCAGTCAAAGAGACGAGAGTAGATTGTCTTAGCTAAGCCATCCCTGCTAACTGTGGCATTCAGAGGATCAAGACTTCTTTTTATGACTTCTTCAGGGGTAATCATGACACGTTTCAGTAACGCATCTTCCAATGCCTGAGCATCACACCTAACATAAATTAAATAAATGTTAATTTTCCTGTCTGTGTTTAAGAAGTTGCTGCAAATTGTTGATATGCAGAAGTAGTTCATACATGAGAAGTTCTGAGACAACGTTGAGATGAAATCTTGACTTATCATCTTTTATAACAGAGGAATCTATCTCCTTTCCTTTAGCAAAATCGATATTTCCAAGATGAAGAATTGCAGCAACTACTCTAAAAATTGCTTCCTGAGGGCAAAGAGAGTGAGGAAAAGAAAATGCACAGCGCCACAGCTTCATATCCATGCACAGATAACTAAAAAGAATACCTGCTCCTTTTCACTGATTCCAACAACATCCATAGCTCTTCGAGTGGCAAGATAGTCTTCTGCATCACTCACGCCAACCAAGTCAATGCACTTTGACTGATTAAGATAATGGAATGTTTTTGGACTTCCTAGTTTGTACTTCTCTATCTCCTTGAAACCAGAACAGCGTTGCACAAAAAAATCCCATTTATGTCAACATTTAAAAGAAATGGAATACACACATAACAGTAATAAGACTTATTTGAACAAATTAATACCTCCTGAGGTGCTGCACAAAGCAGATAAAAACAATGGTAATTACGCTCAGGATCACTGACTTGGCAAACACGAGATCTTTCTAAAAGGTAAGTTCTGATAGCGGCCCCTGATATTCTTCCACGCTTGTCAAACTGGATCTCCACAAATTTACCAAAGCGACTGCAATAGCAAGTAATTTAAAACATCCAAACAAACAAAAAACTTAAGAGCATCAATCATGGATCCCGGGACAAGAAGCGATTTCTTATTTTTATGCAGAATCAAAGAATATCTTTTGTACAATTATTACTGCAGTCTATGCTTAAAAATGGATTAACACTGATCGTTAGCAGCCAAACATCCTAGAAATTAAGTTGCATAAAGATGTTTCATTCGAGTGGGAAAATATTGTTCACCTGGAATTATTATTTCTGACTGTTTTAGCATTTCCAAATGCTTCAAGAACTGGATTTGACTGCATATCAACCAAATAGTACATGTAAACTTCATATGACAGAAAAAAAAAAAGAAAAAAAAAAGAAAAAAACCATATGGGGAATAAAACAAAAGAATCATACTTCAAGAACTTGTTGCTCAACCGTGCGTCCCTCAGTTGATGAGCGACCCCCCAAATAAGCAAGGTATCGCATCAGCATCTTTGTAGTCTCAGTTTTCCCAGCTCCACTTTCACCACTTACAAGAATCGAATTGCTTTTCCCCTCATTTATCATTGCCCTGTCCATAAAACCACAAAAAATTACTCTTGTACAACACTTATATTTTGAAACAAAAAGCAACAGGATCAAATATAACCTGTAAGCAACATCAGCCACTGCAAAAACGTGAGGACTTAGCTCACCCAAGGGTGCCCCTTTGTATTGTTGCATCATGTGAGAATCATAGAGATGAGGCAGTCTTTGAAACGGATTTATTGCGATGAGTATATTTCCAGTATAAGTCTATCAACAACGGAAATTATTTGCATAAATTTTGAAAGAATTCGGTTAGAATCTTACCTTAAGTGATATATATATTTTAAACTATATGGTGAAATATATTGAGGAAAGCGATAGATACACAAATTAAGCCCATGGTGTCCTCTGAATTAAACAAAATTTACATGTAATCCTAAGTGCATGACAACCCCTAAAAAAACCCATGCAGCAAAGGCCTGCAAGGCAGGCACCTAAGTAAACCATTCACTCTCAAGAAAGAAATTACAAAGAGACCAACCAAAAAATCTTATATTAATCCTTCCCAACCCTAGGCGCCAAAAGGTAAAGCCGTAAAGGTGGTAAACCTATTCCCAAACTAACATAAACAGTAACAGGGCAGAACCAATGGGTATTCTTCTTGTACAATTATGAAAGTCTCTCTCTCTCTCTCAATACTGTTTCTTAGAGGGAGGGGGGGGGGATGACACCCAGCAGTACTTACATAGATTTCGTTGAACTCATATCTAGTGCGCAGGTTCTGTAAAACACCTGGCTCATGCAAATAAGACAGCTTGGTCATGTCATCAACCCCAGCTGGAGGAGCTTCCATATCTTTGGGATATAAGTTTGACAATTTTGCAGCAACCTATACAGAATTCAGGTAAGACACTTAATAGATTACAAATCACTAAATTCTTCTATTTTGAACATGAACAGATTCATTTTATTAGCCACCAGAATCAATCAATTTGAAGATGAATAGATAAACTATACTTTTCTACCATAAGAATAAGATTTTATACAATACCCTAGTGTTAAAAGATAAATGCTTGAAGCAACAAGTCTGATGTCAAATGCTTTTCATAAATAAGCAATGGGAGTAAACAATGCCATGATGTTCAGAACCACAATAAATAACAAGCTCTGAGGCAATCAAAATTTTATCATCTATTCTATATTTCTATGAGCTTGTGTGAGCCAAGTCCTTTCAATTGTATGACAAGGTAACATTGGGTTTTGACAATAGAGAAATTAGAACAGAGTCGTTTGCAAATAAGTAATTTTCACAATAATGTTTCAGCCAAAGTCCTTTCCAAGTATGACGGTATACACTTGGGTTTTGACAATAGTAGAGAATCATATATAACGAACTAAATTAAGCTGAGTTGTTGGAAATACTAAGAAAGAAAGATTAAAGCTACAAGTAAACTTAAGGAGGAATTGAAGACAGACTGACAGAATAATTGAAATTATCAACGGACTATCTTGCTAGCCCAAAATTTGTGTACAACCAGCATAACTCCTCTCCTCATGTTAACATCAAAAGGCACATCAAACCTCCATCCACTAGTTTTGAAAGTGTTGATTGACAAGCAAAACATAAAATGTCAAGGTACCTTATTTCCATCTGAAGTTTCAATTTCAGCTTCTTGTCCATTTATTTTTATAACTTGTCCATCAATCCAAGCTGATTTTAGGTCCTCAACCCAGACATGAGAGCCTGCTTTTATGTTAACTGGAGTACCCTGTAGCAAATAATATGAATAATAATACAGATCATCTTTATACCAAAAAAAGGCATCACAATTAAACAGTATTTGCATTAGAGAAAATGGACCATCAAAAGAATTGTCATCAAGAACATTACTTTGTACATGTCACACTGTACACTAGCAGCTGTGCCTGAGACGAAGTGAATAAGCTAAAGTCCAGGACTTAGCAATTAGCACAACTTTATGTCCTCGGATAGAATAGCTTCTTTATATTTTGATTCTGTTTACTTGTGGTGCATTCCCCATTTGGCAAAGGACTAATCAACATCAGATAGATTTTTTGATTGAGATTACAATAAACATAACTCAAGGCTACATGATTACTAGCTTTTGATGCAAAAGATAAAGTTAGATTGCTCCTCACTATGTACATGACATGACCTTGGTATCTCCCCACAGCAACATAAGAAGGACACGGACGCAATCAAACCTGATAAAATAGGCATATATATTAGCATGTTACATCATAGATAGTAGAGAAGTATAGGAAAAATTAGCATGACATTAGTATTCATTGGATCATACGAAGTACATGGATTTGAACCCTGGACCATCTTAGTTAAACTGGTCGAACTTATCACTGAAACTATTTAGCTGGCTAATGTGTTTTTTAAATCTTCACTGCATTGGGCTCTACTATAAACTAGCCATTCCACTATATTTTTCTTGCCATAGAGAAAACTATTACATGTACTTCAATATTATAGTACTTCGATTTAAAAGGCGCCATCAAAGAGTTTCGAATAAGAGCTATGTTAACGTAAGTCTACCATTAACCCTAATCAACTTCAGCTGAAACGGAGCCTCTGTTACTTTGCTCAAAGGATCTAATATGAACTTCATACACCTTAAGTTGATAGGATGAAAAGTCATTTTATTTAGTCCATCATAAGCCATAACCAAAATAACGAGGACAATAGTAAATCTTTACGGCTTGCCATTTCATAAAGTCTGCTTTCATAAAAGCATACGAAGTTAAACTTATATTTCGCTACCATTTTATGAGGACACCTCATAGCAAAGGTAGAAGTTACTTCTACAACTTGCTGCTTTATACCTCATTCCATAGTATCTCCAATGTCAAGCTAATTGCCAAATTAGCTAGTCATGCCTAATAGGATTTCAAGCTATTCCCATTTTTAGCTAGATTCAATAGTTTGTATCCCAATGAACTAGCAACTTAATTGCTAATAAAATCCTACTTGTCAATAAATGGTTAAGTACCATTCTACATCCTTTTTCCAAGCAAATAAGCTTGCCCAAGCTAATTTTCCATTTCAACTTCAACAATTAGCCAATCAAGCTTAATAGCTTGGGCCTTCTAAAATTTGCAAGTTAGTCGCTAGCTACAATCATTGGAGATGCGCTTAATTCAGTATAGGCTATGCACATTATAGTGCACAGTTTTTCTAATATGACGTGTTTATGGAATGAAAAAAAGTTCATTAACTCGATAAATAATATGCAACGAAGGGAATATCATATTAGACTACCACTTCATTAGTATTAATTCGACATTACCAAGCCTTGTTGCATTAATTTTACCAATGATACTTCCATGACATTCTCCATCATCTAATATATCCCAATCAAACCAAACAATATGAAACTATCTAACACATTCATCATTCTTACAAAATTTGACATCTAAAATTAAATTTGAAACCGAATATTTTCAGTATTTTTATTTCAAGGAAATATTTTCAGTATCTCATAACAAACAATCATCAATCAAATTCCAGCAATTCAAAAACAAAACAAAAAAATATAATAAAATCACATACCATTTTTAGGTATCAAAAACTCAATCAAATATTGCCAAAATTCGCAATCATATTCATCAATAAAACGTTTACCAATCAAAACCCTTGCCCAAATTTCTCCAATTAGGGTTATAATCCTCCAAAATCAGAGAAAAATCATTCGATTATTTTCTTCTTCCTCTTCTTGGTGGTTGGAAATGGAGTTGAGAATAGTAATTTTCTCTCTCTTCGGCAAAGAAGTGGGAGTGACATTCTGCAATTAGCCCTGTAACTTCGCGTTGATTTTCATCAATCATTGCAAATTACTCCCAAATTGTAGGAGATTTTTCATGGTTCTTAATTAATCGTAATTTTGCAGTTTTTCTCGCTCGAAATTGGCGCGTTAATGGGTTCAATCTATTGTGTGCATTTTAGAGATTGTTACTTTTATGATTTTGGGAGGGAACGGGAAATATTGTAGAAATTATTAGATTCATCTTTCTTTCAATATTTGAAAACGACTGTTAAAATTTTCCAAAAAAAAATGGAAAATTAAGCATGAAATCACAAAAGACAATTAGTTTATCCTTCGTTGTTACTCCCTCCCTTCATTTTTTTTTTTTTTCCTCATTTAACTTTTATATGCGTAAAAATTATATAAACTTGACATTAATAAAATAAAATATACATTGACACGAACTAACAAGACCCACATGACCCATTTATTTGTAATGGGACAAAAAAAAATAGGAACAGAGGAAGTACAAAAATGGATGATAATTTGAAAGAATTTTTAGAAAAGAATCTAACAAAATCTCACATGTTTATATTTTTAGAAAAATGGGTAAAAATAATCTTAACTTTGCTCGTTCGCTCGAAATAATTCCAATTATGGATTATTTTTAAATAATCGGAATCAGGTTAAGGGACATGTGGCACCACATGATTGGTTGAAAAAAATAAAATAGATTAAAATAAAAAACCAAAAAAAATAAACCCCTCCTAACCTCATCGCCACCCACGACAACCCCACCACCCCTCCCTTCCCCATTTTTGGCAGCCCCCCTTCCATCCCCCACCCTCTTGATGTAACACCCTAGAAATTCCTTTCCTTTAAAATACCAAATTTACCCTTTTAAAAATACGAAATAGGAAAATCTAAGATATTACCGCCATCGTGAAAACGGCTAAGGCAAATATCAAAGACTCATATAGCGGAAAACTCTCTTTCAAACCATTTAAAACAAGTCAACTTAAAAAGTCAAACCAAACGAAAGTAAAGTCAAACGAAGTCAACCCACAACTCAGAATCATTGTAGGCCCTTAAAACCAAACAATATTAAAAACCTTTGCGTTAGTCTCATGAGCATAATAAAATAAATAATATTCAAAGCAAATAAAACACATTTTATTCCTATGAGAACTAAGCATAATTCGCTCTTCACTCATGCCCTTCAAGAAAATGCTTCATCACCTGAAAGCTTCTCTCTACTCGTCCCCACTACTCGCCATTAGAAATGGGGTCGTCGTAGGGCCAAGGTAAAGACAAGGCCAAACAAACATACAAACACACAATCAGCAATGCTGAGTACATAAGCGTAATAAAACACACTAACATGCTTTCATTCTATCATCACACAACTTACCGTGTTGCACCTGTTTACAAGCATACAAAACACTCAAAACCTAACTAGACAAATACCAATGTTCATTTAATTTTGATTACACATCGAACGGGTTTCCAACCAAATCTCTGCCTCAAATAAATTGAGGTAAACTACACCTGGAGCTAACCGGGTAGGCAAATGTCACATAAAAGTGACTGGACGTCCGGCCGTCCTGTACTCCCAGTAGAAGTCATGGTTAAATATAAAACCCCATAACTCCCCCTAGGGATGTCAATGGGGCGGGTCAAATAGGAGACCCGCCCCATCCCCGCCTCAACGAGGTGTGGGGCGGGGATGGGTCTTGGTTTGGCGGGTGATGGGGATAAAAAACCATACCCGCCATGGGTGATGGGGCGGGGGTGGATTTTAGGTTGTACCCGCCCCGCCCCACCCCCACCCGCCCCACTTCGTACCCGCCCCATCCCCATCCACCCCACTTTGTACCCGCCCCATCCCCACATCCATGTATTTTTAAAAACAAAATTATATACTTTTATACTATTTTATAAAAAAAATTATGTAAAATAAAATAGTATATTATAATACTTTGTAATACACTTATATTATAAACAAAAAAATGTGTTTTATTAACAATGATTTTTTTCTTTTTGCAATCTTTATTAATTGTGAAGGATTGTGCATTTGGGAGGCGGGGATCAGGCGAGTCTTAGGTGGGGATTAAGTGGGGGTGGATATCCAAGTGGGGGTTAGGGCGGGGATGGTTTTGGAATTGTACCCGCCGGGGCGGGGATGGGGATGGGTATGAAAATTTTAGATGGGGATGGGGATGGGAAGGACGAAATCAGCCCCGCCCCGCCCCATTGACATCCCTAACTCCCCCTATATGTTCATACTCAAGGTATATACGTTCCAAGAGTTTTAATGTGTAATCTCTTTCACTTTACGTTATTTACATATTATTATACTTGGTGATGACTCTCAAACCATAGTACAATCAAACACAATAAATCATTCAAGCAATCAAACATACCAATTTAATTCTTGAATAATTAGTGACCACATAAATTTAATTGTTGAACCCTTTTTAAATCTACCTCGGTGTCAAAGACACCTTAAATGCATAATGGGTTGCAACTCCTATCCCTCGGTGTTAGAAACACCTTAAGTGCACATAAGCACCGCAATATAATTTATTTCTGTGTACTAAGACACTTGATAGCTCAATTCCCAAGCTTAAAGCATCCATAAAAATTATAGAACCATCATAAAATTCCCTTTTCATATTCCAAACCAAATTAAACATCTAGTTTAATTAAACATGCTCTCTAACATGCTACTAATAAAAGTGTGGTTCATAACCAATATGCCAACATAATTAATTCCAATCACCAATTCACCATAAATAATTCATACATCACAAATCATTCACCAACATCGATTCAATCAACAAATTCCAACCATCACCTATCATGATACTACTTGGAATTAATTAAGCAAAGCGTAACATGCTTCTACATATTCAAATAATTACTAAGTACGCGAACGTACCTTGAATATGATCTCAAAATCGCCACGACTAAATTAAATCACTCACTTAAAAGTCTCCTACAAACCTAAATTATAAAGAAGTATTAATACTCTTCCATACAAATTTCCAGCGATATATACACTCTTTAAATCACTCATAACCCTCTAACATAAGCTGAAATTTTATTTAAAACCCTTACTTTTATTCCCAATTAATGGGTAATTAAAAATCCTTTCAAGAAACATAATTATAGCTTATATATAAAAATTTCAGCATTATTAAACTTATAAAATTGCTGTAATTTAGTTTAAAAACACTTATTTCAATAATTTAAATCACTCATAAACAATTCTCATCAATTTAAAAGCCTAGGGTTTTCAATTTGGGGCTTTTTAATTAAAAATCAAATCTGAAAATTTATATACAAAATACTTATTATTTAACGTCATAAAATCATCACAAAACCCGAAAAAACAATAATTAAATTTACAGTAGATTTAATTAAAAAACCAAAAACAATAATAATTTTATTTTTTTTAACACCACCGACGCACACAACCACCATGGCAGGTTGCTGCCGCGCCGCCTGGTGGCTGCTGTTGCCGGCGAGGGTTGGTGGTGGTGGTTGCCGGTCGGTGGTGGCATGTGGTGGTGGTCGGCCGGTGTGTGGTGTGTGTGGGTGGTGGTGATTAAAAACATTAAAATTAAAATAAAGGGGAAGGGGAAAAGAAAATAGGAGGAAAGAGAGAATTTACCTTTGGGTGCACTCCATCTTAGGCATATGACGGGTATTTATATTCCCTCTCAAAATCCCTCCTACTTAAAATTCCTTTACTACCCTCAATGATCCCTTTCTTAGTCAAACTAGTATTTTGACTTTCCTTAAATACCATTGACTTTAAAAATTATCTTTTTATAAAATAATATGCCCCAATATTTACAAATCTTAAAATAAAATATTTTCAAGATTATTAAATAATTAAAAATAAACTTTTAATTAAAATAATTCTTTTTAAGTTAATAAAAACCATAAATAATTCATTTCGAATTATTTAAATACTTTAAGAAATACTTATTAAATTAAAATATGTATAAAAATACGGGGTATTACACTTGACCCCCAACCAATGAAATCTCCCATCACCACCCACCCACCCATCCACCAAAACAAGCCTCCCCACCCCGAATTCACCCCGCTTCCCACCCCTCGCCCCGTAAACCATCCTCACCCCTTTTCCCCCACCCCGAAAACCCCCCCTCGACGCCGGAGAAGGGGAGAGGGTGGTTTTCGAGGGTGGGGATCAAGATGGATTTGGGGAGGAGGGTCGATTTCGGTGAATGGATGGTGGGGAGTGGGGATTCCGGTGGTTGGGGGTGAAGAGAGGGGTTATAGGAGGGTGGGGGGCTGCCGAAAATAGGGAAGGGCGTGGTGGTGGAATGGGGATAGGCTGGTTGGGTTTTTTTTTTTTTTTTTTTTTTTTTTTTTTTTTTTTGCAACCAATCACATGGTGACACGTGTAGTTTAAACAAAAACAAAATCCTCTTTACAGGTTACTAGTCACTTGGGACTAGTAAAAGTTAATGACCCCCAAAGTTCGGATTATTTAAAAATAATCTATAGTTGGGATTATTTTGAGCGAACGGACAAAAGTTATGATTATTTTTACCAATTTTTCCATTGTGTAAATCACAAAAGGTGATTAAAGGAGTGTGAGTTAATAGTGTAAAATTTCAAACGTTGCGCTTAAAATAGCGGAGAAAATATTTGAATATGATTTGAATTTTAAACCATTTTTTTCTAGTCTGGTTAAGGTTTGGTCTCATGTTAACCGGTCAGATCTTCAGTTCTTGAAGTTCCAATCAGATCTCCGATTCTTGAAATTTAAATTTATAGTATTTAGTTCAATTTGATCTTGTAACCCCCTACAAAATTCCCTTACGTTAAAGTGACCATTTTACCCTTAATTAAATACTATTTTAAGAAAAATCTAAAATATTATCGTCGTCATGATAACGACAAGGTTTTTGTCAAATATACACACCAAAAATCGAACTCAAACTTTTTAAACGTAAACTATTAAAATCCAAAACAAATATAAACCATTTCAATCAAACTAAACCAAATCAAAATACAAGTTGGAAGTTTGGAACTATATCACAACCCAAAATAAAACCAAGGTTCAAACCAAAACCAAGTCCATCAAACCAAATTTCAATAAATTATAACCAACTAAACAAATGCAAATATCTCTCATCACACTGCAAAGCTCTTAATCCAATCTGAGTGTTCACCATAATAGATGATCACAGGGCCGAGACAAAACTAGACCAACACACAACAAAGCACGCATAAATAAAAGTTGAGTGCATACAATGATATGTAAAAGCACAATTCTAAGTACATACAATGATATAGTAAAGCACAATCAATCACTAACCCTCCTACATCTGTTGATTTTTATCAAATTTGAATTTGTTTTTCAAGTGTTTTGTGACCTGAAATC